ACTGATTTTAGTTCCATACGAAATTAAATTGTTTGAGTTGTTTTAAATCAGTTGAAATATCTTTTTAGCGTGGAACATCGAGTCTGATGAGAATAATAACTTTCCTTCTTCATGGACCAAGTTGAAAGCTACTGAAACATACAGTATTGGACTAATGTGAGAATATCCTCACTAATAAAGAAAAGATCAATTGTTATATATTACAGGTTTAGTACTATAGATAAAAAGAACCCTTCAAGTTGAAGATGAAGCGTGTGAATTAGGATTTGATGAGGCTATGGGTGACGAAAGAAGAGGTATGTGATGTGGACATTGCAACCTCTTCTCCTCCACAAGCCAACAAGACAAAATTTTGCTAAGCTGCGAACCCTTCATTTGCTTATAGTTGTCAAGATATAAATCACACCCACCAAAATATTTCATCATCAACCTTTTTTTTTTTTTTTTTTTTTTTTATTGTGTAAATCACACCCACCAAAATATTTCATCAACTTTTTTTTTTTTTTTTTTTTCTTGTATTTGGGGAGAAGATTTAAACATGAATCTATTTGTTAGATTGTATATTTGCTTACCATTAGATTATGTTTTGGTGTGCAATGTCATCGTCAACTTAACAAAACAAAGTCAATGGTGTTTTACTTTACTAGTACTTAAAACAAAAATGTGCCTTTAGTATTTATTTGCCTCTAAATTGTCCTTCAACTTTGGACAAAATTACATTCGTATATCTTAGAAGGGTCACCGTGTTTTAAATTTTTTTAAGAAAATCTTAATAAAAGAAATATTGTTGAAGTTTGAAAAATTATCTATTTGGTTTCCCAAAATTTGAAAAATTAGATTTCATCCTCCCAATTTTAAAAATTATTTTTGTTAATTTTGTCCTTTTTCAGAAATTGATTTTCGTTTTTCACACATCATCTTTATGAACTGCCAAATTAATTGGACCTCTTTCAACGGCAAGGAGACAGTCAACTAGTCTTATGCACGTTGTGTATTCATAGACTTTAATGAGATAAGTGATAGTTTCCGGTCAACTTTGGGCGTCTTAGGTGTTTAGGAAATAATTGTATTTCTCTCATTTTCCTTTATTGGTTTGAATTTAATGCATTGAAAGAAATTTCTTTTTTTTAAATTATTTAAGTAGATTTAGACCTTGTCGGCAATAGTTTTTTAACATTGTTTTTACTATTTATGGTATTTGGTAGCATAAAATTTATATTAGTGTTTAAAATTTATGGAAACGAAATATGAAATGTTATTTCATTTAATGTTTAATAAAAACTCTAATTAAACAGTTCACAGATAATAACTGCTAAAACAACTGATAGTTAATTGCTAAAACATTTAATTTTGCCAAACATATTTTAGGCTCTATTAATTTATTTGTAGAAAATAAATTATTTTTTCAAAAGTATTTTCCATTAAGATAAATTTTAATTTATTTTAGTTCTAAATTTTAGATTTCAAGTCATTTAGCTTCAATTTTTAAACTTTTAGATTTTAAAAATAACTTCAAGAGGCCGTTCGGAATGATAGAATACGAAATTTATGAATTTTTACAAAATCCATAGAATATGAAATTTATGGATTTTAAAATCAATAAAGTTTCACCTTTTATTATTGGGTTAAAAAGTATAATATGTAAATTTGAAAGATTTTTAGAATAAAAAATTAAATGATCTAAATGTTATATTTTAGAGACATGTACGAGAGAAATATTTCTTCAATTTCTTCTATTGAATATAACGGGATTACATACATCCTATTTATGCACAATAGTCTAACTCTAAATAGGAAAAACACGAATAAGGAATGAGTAATACTGTTTTCTAAATAAGCTATATAAAAATATTCTAAATTACACAAATCAACATTAAATTATATCATTAATAGAAATGATGAATTGAACCAATAAGGTGTTAGTTGAGGTAAGAAGCGACCTCAACATCCGTAAAGATAAGAATACAAAGTTTGATTCTTAGAAAGCATATTTTGCTGAGAAGGTAAAAAATCTTTATGCTCTATAGTCCTAGATACGTTTCATCCAACTCATACCTCTTACGTCATTTTAATAAAGCTTAATGACTTAGTTTGTTAGCTTTGTGCACAATATTACACAACTATAAAAATTTAGTCAACTATAATGATATTAATATTAAATAAAATTTAAACGTTTTTCTTATTAAACTTCAATAAAAAGAAAAATTATTCAATACTCATGGTTTTCTTTTTGTCTTCTGACAAGAGAGCAGAGGTGACTCGGCGGCTAATGTGGCGAGTCGGCCTTGGTCTGGGTAGTGGAAGGACGAGACCTATGAGTCTACGAGATTAGCTATCCAAATTGGGTGATAAAGACATGAGAATCCAAATCATTAACATAACCATATGTCCATTTTTATCTCGTGGTTTTCCATTTTCGGTCAGTGCTGCTGCCCAGCAAGAGGAGGAGAAGAAAGCACGTGTGAGTGAATATCATACACTTAAAACGCTTCAACCGACGGACGTTCGCGTGGGCATCATTATCAAACTGGAGGACATTCTCGTTTCTTCCTTGCAATAATACTGAACCAAATTAACAATTTACCCTAAATTTAGAAATTTTTTTTTAAAAAAAGGGAAGATGAACAGATTGATTTTAGTTCCTGTCCACAAAATATATGTTGGTGGGAACACCTACTAACATCATTTTGGCTGCTGCCTTTTCAAAATTTTTCAAAAAATTTTTTCTTTTCAGTTATATTTAGGAGTACTTATCCATCAGTTTTACATCAAAATTAGTTTAGAATGGAAAGAATTTATTGAATCAACTACCTTTAAATAGATTCAAAATCTTAATGAATTTATTCATGTAAATTGAAAATAAATTTTAATTTTTCTTAATATAAAAAACAAGCACTATTAGAACTCATTTGGTTTGTTAAAAAATGGAGAAAAAATAATATTCATATGTTAAAATTTTCAGAAATTTTAAAATAATGTTATCTGCCCTATTTTCTCAATAAAAAAATTAATTTTAATTTTTTTTCTCAAAAAAAAAAAGAATTTAATTTTGAGTATAATGCATATCTAGTGTCTTAAATTAAATTAGAATTGACCTCAAGTTTAAATTGCCTAAACGGCTACACTCATTTAAGCCAAACGGACCTCAATGCCCGTTATGGGCTTCACAGTGAATGCTTCTGTTACAGTATAATTGATATGGGCTTAGTATCTAAAGAAACTCGTTCAGTCCTTTTTTTTCATAAACAGGCGATGAGCGTAAAAGTTTTTTGCGCTATCAACGAATCGAACTTTTCAGAGTCCTCATTCTTACAGGAATTGAGTTTGTTAAATACCTCAATCAACATTTTATTGATCATTCAGTCTTTTTTTTTAATTAGTCAAAGTCATTTCGAGTTAATAGGCTATATTAAGAACTCGCTCTTTTTCTCTTAAAAAAAAAGAAAAATATGAATTTTAATATTTCTAGAGCACTTCTCTAACATAATTCCTAATTAACAAGAAAAAAATTTTTTCACTTTTACCAACTAAATTAATACATTGAGTGGAACTTAATTTTGAGCATATCTTTATTAAGCTAAACGGAGCTCTAGTTTGAATTCACTGGATTTCAGTTTTGTTCAATTCATTTAAAACTTTAGTGGCTCATGAAATTATATTTGAGTAATTTATTATTTCTCAAAATTAGATCCTCCATAAATTAGTGATTTGGATGTTTTCACTTGTTGACATGCCTTTTCTCAAAAATAAAATAAATAAAATCGTTCGTCTGGCTTATAATTCTCTAGTTAGTTCTTTTGTAGCTAATTTTGCTAAGCATATGCATAAGATTTTTTTTTTTAATCTTAATACTATATGTTTTTCAATTATTTTTTGGCCCCTCTAAAATTTTAATTTTAGATTCATCACCAACTTTTTCTTTATCTTTAAAATTAATTTATTTTATTATAACAAAATATACTTGGAAAATTTTAACTTATCCAAGTAAAAAAAATTTCAAAACTCTTAAAGCTATTCTGGAAAAGTTAAATGGAAAAACTAATAAAAAACAATGTTAACAGCACAATCACAAAACATCAATAAGATTTTTTCTTGAGATAAGAAGAAAGAGAGAGAGAAAAAAAAAAAAAAAAAAAAAGGAGAAGAGAAAAAAAAAAAAAAAAAAAAAAAAAAAAAAAGACATTGGCTAAACTAAGTCGTGGCACTCACAAATTTGTAGAAATCAAATATAATAATTAATTTCTCAAAATGTTGAACCATAATGTCACTTATGCAAACTTAGGCCTGAGGCCTTGGTTGTGCACCTAATTGATGGAATTGACACCACTCAGTTGGAACTTGGAACACTAACTCAGAACCATCAGATTGTTTGGCAAATGCTTTCATCACCTTGTCAAGCAGTACATAATGACAGCTTGTGACCATCATATGATATAGACAAATTTAAAAAGAAAATTTTTTAAGAACATAAAATGTTTTTTTTTTTTTTTTTTAATTTGACATATAAGATTTTTTATAAGAGTGCTGGGCGGTTCTGAAATAAATTCAAGTTTAGAGTTCCTCCCCTAATACTAAAAAGAAAAAAAAATTAAGTCACAGAAGGTGTATTTATTGCGTATTTAGGTAACTTTAATTTTTTTTTTTTTTTTTAATTTGACATATAGATTTTTATAAGAGTGTGGGCGTTCTGAAAATAAATTCAAGTTAGATTCCCTTCCCCTAATACTAAAAAGAAAAAAAAATTAAGTCACAGAAGGTTTATTGCGTAATTTAGGTAACTTTAACTTTGATTTACTTAAAAGGTACCAAAATTGTTATTATAATTAATTTAGTTGCCAAAAAAATTTGTGGCACAAACGAAACCGTAAGATAGATCTTGACATTTTATTTTCTTAAACGTTACCACAAGACAAAGATTTTAAAGTTTTAGACACAAATTATTAGTGGTGCCAAATTATTTTCCTTTCTTTTAATTTTTCAAATTATTGCACGACAGGAAATGTTAATGCAAGTTGAAACTTAACAGTACTAAATGTTTGAAACATACAACATTTGCATATGTATATATATGCATGAGTTACACTTACAATTTCAACAAAGATTAAAAAAAAAACTAAAAATTTTGCTAAATTAACTCCAGCTTCAGATTTTCTTCTTACTAATTCAGTAAGAAGTCTGGAATGGCTTGACTGTCTTGAGATCAGTAATAACACCAGCAATGGAGCCAGCAGCAGCAGCTATAGTAATAATAAGACAGGCACCGCTTAGTATTTGGAGACAGAGCCATCTTGTGCTCCATTTTGGTATTTTCTTCTGGGCTATGTACATTTCAACTGGAAAATAAACCGTTAATGGCCAAAACCCTAAAGCTCCAAGTAAACCCACAATGTCGTTAAAGAAAGGAAGGAGCATTGAAATTACAGTGGTAAAGATCACAAAAACTGTCCTAAACACCATTCTGAAGAGGTTAAGGTTGAAAGTACCCAAGCAAGGAATTGGGATTTTGATATCTCTGGTAATAAAGTCACTATCTGGGTATTTTTGTGCTGCTGTTTTTTCTATGAAAGAAAAAAGTGGTTGACAGTAAACTTGGTATGCACCAACAAGGTGGACAACTATAGCAACATTAGCAATATCAAGTAGCCAATATGGGTTATAAAAACCAAACCCAGTTAGGAGATTTCCAGGGGACATGTCTCCAAAAGCTGCATACCCAAAACACCCACATAGCATGTAGAAAAACGTTGTCACTGCTACACTTATTAGTGTTGCTTTCTTCATTGTCTTGGCCTCTGATGGTGGTGATTTCACTGTGTCCTGTTAAAATAACGTAATTCATTCAAGTCAGACTCTTAATTTCACAGCCTGCTTTCCCCTGCTTTTTTCAGAGAGATTGAACCCTTGATAGTGTTAAAATATATTTTAGTTAAACTATTTGGTTAAAAATATATATGTATATACCTGAATTTCAATGAGGATCATGGAGTAAGAGTAGGCGAAAGCGATGTCTCCAAGAGCTTGGAAGCTTCTCCAAATTTTTTGGGTAGGGGTAACATTGTTAAGACTAATTCCAGTTAGGCTTCCCATGATTTTTCCAGATTCTGCGACTTTGGCAATTCCAAGTCCAAGGCCAATAGTCGAGTAAGTGAAGGACATAACAGCAGCAAGAATGGAAAGCCACCATAGCTGATCAAAATCAGGAATTTGAGAAAAAATAATTTCTGCAATGCCAAATGCAATCATGTAAGGATTTGCATTCATTTTGCATGGATTCTTGCCTCCACTCTTGTGAAAACAATTAGACCTCTTGACTGCCCTGTTTTATGCCAAAAAAAAAAAAAAAAATTACCCACTTGAAAATAATTTTTTGAAAAAAAAAAAATTCAAAATTACACTCTTAATTAACTCACATCATGCTTATGGATGATGCAATTGTATAACCAATGGCAACCCCAAAAAGGTTCAGATACTGAACAATTCCACATATTTTGACCTTAGCACCACCAAGATTAGACCGAATAACATCCATGTAGGTGTAGTTTCTTTTTCCGGTGACAGAATCGCCGGAACGGTAACAGGCAGAGAGAAGAGTTGAAGTATAGTAAGTAACAAAAGAGAACAAGAACATAACAGCAGGGCCTGCAATCCATCCAAGCTGCGCTATTGCCCAAGCCAAAGACAGAACTCCAGACCCAATCACAGCCGTTATGATATGTGCACTCGCAGTCCAAACAGTCCCTATACAGAATTTAACAACAGATTATCAGTAAATTGAGTTTTAGTTCAAAGATACACAAGGATTTTATTGACAGATTAATTACCAGTTCGCTTAAGACGACCATCGTCGTCGAGCAATTTGGAGCCATTGCTCATCTGGGTGTGCATGTTAATGGAGACATCAAAGACTTGGTGGTGAGAATGAGATCTTCCTGATGTGTTCTCCACCATCTTTGATTATCAGAAGAAAAAGAAAGCAAATGTCAGTGAATATGTTCTGAAGTGAAATGAAAATTCAGAGATGCCATGGAAGAGAAGAAGAGAAGGTTATTTATAGCGGGAGAGTTTAGGTGTTGAAAGCTAGTAAGGCCAATAATAGTTGTAAACCACGTGCTCTTTGTATGACCCTACGCGGACATTTCTTTGTCTCCTGTGCAGAACCCATCCCATCGTATACAAAGAAAATAATTCACTGCATTTTCATTTTCCCTACGTTTCAATTTTCATGGTAATTTTAAAAAAATTACCACTCATTATTAATATTCCTTTTTCCATTAATACACATAGGCAAATTTTATGTATAAAATCAGGGATTAAAAATCTGAAAGCGTTGTCTCTACCCATCCAAATGAGATAACTTAGTACGCAAAATTTCTTTTTCTGATTCTAAAAATCAAACTCCAATTGATAAAATGAACAGTAAAATTGATTGATCAATTAGATTAATCTTTTGGATATGATTTTGAGCTTCTTTAAATTATGAAAGGATCTGGAAAATCCTTCCAAAGAAGTAACTATCAGGAAATGGTTCATTGTCCCACATAAAGAAGAGGTCTTCGTCATTGCTTTCTTTTCCAGAGGTCAGCAGAGGTACGTAATTAATTTATCTGTTCATCTTTCATCAGTCATTATATATATAAGGTAAAGAAAAAGGCAGCGTTTGAGGCTGCCATTGGTGGCATAATGTAACTGTTGTACAGCTCTGATTTTCATGGATTTATTTTGTTTGTCTTCATTATCTTTAATTTTCTTTTTCAACTTTCTATTTTTTCTAAAGAGTTTTTCAACTTTCTTTTAATTTCTTAGCTGTTTCTAAAGAGTCTACCTACTACCCTTAAAATCTGTATTTTTTCCAAAAATATTATGCAACAATATATATTTTATAAAGACCGGCCATTGAATTTTCTGTTGTATAATTTAAGGTGCTGGTAGTTTTAAATTCTAATAATCATATTTTTTTAGTAAATAAATTTATATATAGAAATAGAATTAATCTCTTAGTTTTATATATGGAAAGTTTATTCAAGATTTAAATACTTTTTCTTTGAGAAATCTAAAATTTAAATCCTAATTATTTATTGTGATTAGGTATTTAATTTTTGCGCTTTTAATACGATAGATATTAACAAACATTGAATGCTTTTGGATTTGATTCGAGTTTTAGGGTTAATATTTCCTTTGACTCATCAAAATTAATGAAAACTTTTATGATCGAGAATTCAAGAAGATTCAAACTCAAAATTCTCATTTTTCACATGAATAAAAAGATCAATAAGACTACACATCGTTTACTTTAGATGAGATTTTCTTATTTAACTATTTTGGACTACTCTAATGAAGTCTTTGAATTACTAATTCGGTGTACTTTCCGTCTCTCCCCCTAATTAGTAATTGTATATTTGTATTAACATATTAACATAAAATCTTCTTAAAAGTATTTATGGAAAGGAATATTGATATAATAACTTAATTTTTTTCGAAGGAAAAATTAAAAATAATACATATGAATGGTAGCACCATTTTAGCAAAATATGCATACGAAGATAAGATAAAATATAAAATGCATGGAGAGGAAATTGACAATAATTATTGTTTTAAAATGACAAAATTATATATAATTATACAAAATAAATCAAAAGCTAAATGAATCGGATCGATCAAACTCTTACCTTTCTTTCTTTAAGCTTATCAAACTTTTCCTTAGGTTTATGCTAACCAAGAAGAGAAAGATTGGAGTGAGTAGATGTAATTAAGTTTTGTTTGGTTATGGCTTATTTGAATCAAAACACCATAGTTATATATAGTAAGAAGCAAAGCCTAGTAAATATTATTCTAATATATCTCTTTAAAGGACCACCTTTGAATCAAAATTCTCACGGCTAAAGCTTCTCAATTCTCATCCATCCTTATTGTTAGAGAATATGGTTCCTTAATAATTCATTCCATTAAGAATTAATGATAATGGTTCATGTCTAAGCAAATGGAGAAGTATATACCAGTCAAATTTCTCCTTTTAGATATATGCTATGGACTTATAATAATCGAGGCATGGTATCCCATGATTATTTATAAAATAGATAATTATTTTTATTTTTTTTGGTATTGATATGTACACTAAGACATAACCTAGTGAGTCAATCCAGTGTGATCTGATTTGATTTTCTCATTAGTGTGAAAAGTGAGAGTTTTAAATTCGAATTCTCTCAACGATAAAAATTTTCACCAATTTGGTGAACCAAGAGAGCGTTACTTTTAAATTATTTCAGACAAAAGGTTGTAATACAAAGACAATTTTAGCCCTTAGGTAAAGGGTACAATTGAGGTTTTAAATTTCCTTATCAAAATTTTTCCACAGAATTGAGTTCTTTATTCCCTGTTTTTTGAAGTACGCCTCTCCTTTTGCGGTAAAGATGGTATCGGTCCCTCTAAGACTGAGGACCACTAAAACCTTTGCAATTCCATGTTTTAGTATGGTCCTATTTGAGGTGCCTCTTGCGTACTATAATAAAATTCTCTTGCTCACAAGTTTTTTCTTTTTTTAGGATCAAGAGGTATAATTCCCTCTTGTTTTTTATAGAGAGTACATATTTTTTGCCCTCTAAACACATATGCTGAATCAAATTTATATTCTCACGTTTCTCGGAATTAAATTTGTGTCCTTACTCTTACGAGGATTGAAGTCGCTTACTATTCCAGTCAACACCTAATTGGTCATTTTGCTCACATTAATTCAACAATTTAGTCCTAAAAATACTAAATGATGTAAATAAATAATCTATTTACATTAATTAAATAATTAATTTACTTGAATACCGTTGCGTGAATACAATTAAGGAAAAGCAAAAGAGAAAATCATATTCCCTCGTGCCCACAATTTACTTGAATTTTCACCTTATATATTTTGTAAATATAGAATTAGAAAAAGTTTTCATTTTTGATAAGCTAAGTTCTTAAACATTTCAAATAGTAATAATATATAAAAATGATCACCAAATGTCAGCCACGAATTATTCTTATTTCATAGGTTTATATGCCTAAAAATAAAAAATTAGCTAAGAAATAATCAAATAGAAGCAACTTGATTATTGCCACACTAAGTAGCGTTAATTATTATTAATTAGTAATATATATAGTTATAGTGGGGATTCAATTCATTTTGTCTGCACACGTGGCTAAACTAAACACTCACAAGTTGGAGCTTTTTTTAACTCCTTGCTTTAGGGAGCACTCATTAGAGTGTTTAGAAAAAAAGAGAAAAAGAAATATTTTGCAATCCTAATGTTAATTCCAAATTAATTAAGAATTTATTCTCTAAAATGCTTTTTGGTTAGTTTTATACCTAAAATAGATATTCACAGTAATTAAATAATACTAAAATATAATATTAATTAATTGATTAAATATAAATAGCAACAAAAACAAAAATATTTATTTTTTTTTTACCAATCAGACGTGATTTACTTGATTTTTCCACTTCTTGTTGAACATGTTGAGAGTGAAAGATATTGAATTCGAGTCATTTTTACCACAATAGTAATCACTAATTTATTGAATATTATTTAAAAGGAACGGTTACTATATATTGTGTAGTTCACAGTTATTTCAGTTCATTGACCCTCCCATGTATAAAAAAAAAAAAAAATTAATTTAAAAGGAACGGTTATATACTATTGTGTAGTTCACAGTTATTTCAGTTCATTGACCCTCCCCATGTATAAAAAAAAAAAAAAACACTTAACTAGCTACAAGAAACTATATATATATATATATATATATATATATATATAATATATTCATTTTACATGTTATTAAAATAAAAACAATTAATATCATTTTACATGTTATTAAATAAAAAAATTATTATTAATAAGAATTAGCTGCAACATCATTTTATTCAAAAAGCCCTTGTAATAAAAAAATCATCATTAGAATTATCATAAAAATTTCCACGTAAATATTAGAAAAAATGTTTATTGGCTTTACATGCTATCCTAAGAAGCTTTATTTATTCGATATGAGACGTGAACACAAAATACATTTCGAATCAAACCAACTAAGATTTTACCTGATATGAGTCGAAAGGTCTCGGAGATAACTATGCTAAGCTGAAATTTTTGACTAAGTTAGTAAATAACATTGGAGGGTAAAGAGAGAACTCTTTGAAAGGCAAAAGCATATATTTGCATTAAGTGCGCGTCAAAGTCTCCTTTAAACTGAAGCAATTACGAATGGAATGATTTAATTCAATTTGATAGTCTCACTCACTTTCCTCTGTCCTGTGATTAAATGATTCGAATCTGACATCCCCAATAAGCTCATTCCAACTAGTCTTGAGGTGGTTACTTGCCTTATTTGCCTTTGCTGGGTCCATCAATTTAATTGAAAGCACATTCATGTATAACTGCCATATACATGCATTTATTGATACACTCCACTCTTTCCTGCCTGCTATTTACACTCCATTTTCTATTTTTATTTTATTCAATTAGTAATAAATTATTATGATCATCATTATTTTATTTATTTGGAAATATCTATCATCATATTATTTAACGGAAAAAAATAAAAAATAAAAGTTTATAATACTCCATTTTTTTTTATATTGGAAAGAGAGATTTCAACCTAATTTAATTTAATAGTCAGAACGTACATATACTGGGGCTATACATTGTGTACGGTGAAGGACTCATTGATTTACCACAATTTCATTAGTTTCATTTGGAAATATCTTCACCCTTGAGTCTTCGTTCACGTTGACTTTCAAGGGAAAAAAAGTGCATTGCTGCCATGACCTTGACTCTCATACATTCTTTTCTCTCATTTTATACTCGACGTGTATATTGTGCATTTTAAACATCTCCCTGTAAAGTTATTAAATACAATTTTCTCCAAACTAAAATATAAATGTATGAGAATTTATCACATCCCATTTCAAACAAATTAACAACGTCTTATCAAAACCTTGAATTGGAACTAGAAAGAATAATTGAATTGAACTTTGGAGGATTGAAAAGGTAAAGAGAAGAGAAGAGGAGACATGATAGAGATATGAACCGTAGGATGTAGTTGGTACACATTGGATGGTAAAGGGAGAGTCACCCTTGGGTGGAGTCTTTATTCCTAAAAAGCAATATGCGCCCCTTACGAAGGCCCAAGAGGGAGCGTTATGGTACGAGAGTCAACTATGGCTGTTCAAAGGCGTGCGCTATTGATTGCTCCCATTTTTCGCGTCTCATCTATCCCTCAATCACTCACTGAGTGATTGATTTGTTTTAGTGACCTTCCCTTTACAACTTGCTCATTATGGCACGAGTTTGGCACAGAGCGCAAACGTGTATCTACCACGCGAATGGATATATATCAAACGTGTATCACCACGCGAATGGATATATATATATATATATATATAATATATATATCATCCTCTTTGTTAGATATTAATTCGCGGGATAAATAAGTACATTTTGATTTTGAGTGTTTAAGTCTCTCTTTATAAGGTTTTCTTTTACAGAATTCAAACTCCCTAATTAATATTGCAGAAAGATATTTAATTATATATATATATATATATATCATCCTCTTTGTTAGATATTAATTCGCGGGATAAATAAGTACATTTTGATTTTGAGTGTTACTGTCTCTCTTTATAAGTGTTCTTTTACAGATTCAAACTCCTAATAATATTGCAGAAAATATTTATTCAACTCAATTGTTCCTCATTACTTGAGTCATTTTTCGTTAATGGACATTATAGTGTCTAATGTAATTTTTGAAACATTAAATTATTATTTTTTATATAATTACGATTAGAAATTATCAAATTTAATCACGATATATAATTTATTAAAAATTAAGTCTTTGACCAATTTCAATGAATTTTGGATTTTTGATTGAAATAAGTGCACTCACAAAGTTATGGGGTAAAAATGAATAAAATGTATTGCTAAAGAGTTAATTGTTTCTCGTGTCTATTGATCAGGATAAAACTATTCTTTACAGAAAGAACCGTGTTGAAAAAATTAAATTCTTTGTTGTACAAATTGAAATAAAAAAAATATATATTCAAACTTGAACATGATAAAACTATTTGGGCTTGATCAATTTAAATATACATAGCCCTGCTCTTATTATAAGCATTTCTTGGAAGTGGGAGAATAAATAAAAGCGAAATAAAATAAAAGAAAATCAGTCTTTTCATAATTGAAAATTAATTTCTTTTCCGGTTGAAAGAGTTGGAGGAGACTCGACATTCGGGGTTGACTCACCAAATTAATGTGGCGAACAGGCGTCGTGGGAGACCTGGTAGTGCGATGGACTCGTGAAACATAATCCCCGCGTTTCTCATTTCAGTTTCGAGAAAATTAGCAAACCGAAATATTAGAATGTGGATGATGAGGATTTACATACAATCTTTTCTTCAGTTCCATAACGAATCATATGCGATTTTTCTGATCAAGACCCGAATCATTATCTATTTAACATCTCCATAACCATAAAGTAGAAAGCTCAGTTCTGCACTTTCTAGATTACCAAACAAACATGCCTATCTTCAAACCAGCAAGGTTTCTGGATTAGTCTTTGAATTAATACCATTTGGAATTTTTAAACATTTTCTTTGTTAAATCAGCATCCAAACGAGTTGCAAGCAACCTTATCTCCCAAAAAGTTGCAGACTGCCAGCTCTTTTGCACCTAATTTTACTAGTATAAATTCTTAATAATAGAAGTCATGGGTTTTTTTAAAAGAAAGAATCATATAAGATCTTTCTCATCATCAAGAACCAAATGATGGTTTATTAACTAAAATATAGTTAGAAAGTGCAATGAACTTGGAGATATTTCGTAGATAGTACGTTTTAGAGTAGGACGGTAAGTGAAGATGATCAATGGTTTTTGTGTTGATAAGAATGGAGACAGACATGCTGCAACTTTACCTTCCAAAAAGTGGAGAATTTTGAGATGACACCACTTGACTTGAAAGATCTTTAAGAATGTTGAAATATTTTGATTTTAATACCATCCATTTGGCAGGCTTTATTGTCCAATTTGAATAAATTGATGAATTTTTATATTACCATATGCCAAATGTCATCAACCCACTTCTCATGGAGTGTGAGTTACAGCCTTCTCAATTTTTTTTTTTGGAATTTTTTTTTAATTCATTGGAATTTTTATAGGCCGAAATAACACTCTAGACTAAACAACGAGAGGTATCCATTTCATTGACTAATCAAATTGGTGAAAATAACTGTGGTTGAAAGGATTGGAACTCGAGATTGCCCATTCTTAATATAAGTGAGAAAACCAACCAGACATCACCTGATTGACATTTAGATATATATGCATTACATTTTTTAATTAATCACAATTTAACTTTGTAATGACTTTATTTATTTATATATTTTTTAGGTTGTGGTGGTTCGCGGCCTCCTAATTCTAAGTTTTTTTTTTTATTATTATTTTTGCTCTGAAAAACTTTTATTTTTAATTTTTGTCTTGAAAAAAATTATTTTCTTTTTATTTAGCCACCTTAATTTTTTTTTTTTAAATTTGTCCCTTGAATTTGATTTTCGGCTCCGCCACCATATAGGATATAAATATTGACAATTTGTCAAAGATAGTTGTTTACATATGGGATAAGAACACATTAGGGTAGTTGTTCATATAATAAGGTATGTATTATAAATTAAAAATAAAATTATCTTAAAATTTTTCATTATAAAAAGATTATTATAAATATAATTCCAATAAGGGGACTAAACAGAATTATCTATTTCTCCTCCTTTTCCTTCAGTTTTCACAGTTGCACGCCAGTCCATTTAGTGCATGGTGATAATGGCATCCAACTTTCTACATAGTTGCTTATTTTATTTTCCAATTTTTATGTTCAATTTCTTATATGGGCTTTGTTGGGCAAGGTTTCTATTTCTAATTGGGCCAAATTCCGATGGACTTTCTTTTCTTTTTCTGTTGCTATTTGGGTCCTTAGAACAAAGGCCTATGTTGAAGGACACTACCGTCGGAATTTCTTTTTCTAGGGGAGCAGATTTTGGTTGTGTTAAAATTGGATATTTCATCTAACACACCTTCATTGACATTTTAAAAATATATTGGTACTTAAAATTTCAGATGGCCATGTTATATTATGCACAATCTATTATGAGCTGCCCAGAAAGATCTAATATAGTTTTTGACAATAAATTATAGACATTTTAAAACCTCAAAGGAAAAAATTTGTCTAGACAGGAGGTGCTAAGCTGTAGAAGAGGCTACAAAAAATAGACGAAGCCTGAGAGTCATGACCCTATTTATGGATTAAATAAATGAAATTAAGATTTCTTAAAAACACCTAAATATACTTCGTACATGACTTGCTTTGCTTAAAGTATTTCGATTTTATCATTTTTTTTCCAAGTGTATGATTAGAAATACTTTCATTTCAATAAGAATTCTTAATTTCATTAATTGTCCATAATTGAACTCATGAACCCGATCTAGGTAAATTCTTCTCAAGGTGGAATATATCCGCGTCTGACATGTTTTAAAAACTAACATGTGTCAAATGATGGGTTCTATTTTTCTTATTTTTTTTATTAATTTCAGACACTTCAAGAACAGTTAGAGAATATTTTGAAAAGTTTGTAATTTTTTTTAGATATACTTATTACTCAAAATTTTGAATCCAGGTCTTAAATATAGATTAGGTAATTATTCAAACTCATAAAAAAAATTAGCGTGTCTGTGTCTGTATTCATATTCGCGTCAGTAGTGGTACCTAGTTGTTTTGGCAGTAAAATTACAAGCACATTAGCACCAATTTGAATCACTCAAGAAAAGAAATAATCAATCAATCAATTAAGTTATCAATGTATATATAATGTCTCAGAGACTGCAATTCTGCATGAAACTTCCTTAAGCTCAAACTGTTAACAAGAAATGTGCTAATGATAGTCAAGTCCTGAGAGAGTTTGTGTGTCTCTGTACCTCATAAGGCCATGGGAGTCATCTGTTTGGAGGTCTGTGGTAACACTTGACCAATCTTCCAATGATATTCTTTACAGGAAGTGGTCCCCTATTCATCGATAGCACATTAAAATATAAGAAATTGGAAAAAAAATGAAAAGTTTGGAAATAACTAAGTTTTATATCTTTCAGCATTGGGCAAGAATCCTGAAAGATAACTGGAATACAAGAAGTAATTAAAAGAAAATTGGTGAATCCTCAAATTAGCAAGTAGAGGATTGAGAATCCTACCAATCATGCGAGTCATAGCTGTTGTTGCGGTTGTCGCCCAAGACATAAACATGATCTTTAGGCACATACTGAAAATCCAGGAAAAAGGTAAATATTAATGTGAAGCAATGGATCATAGTTCCAAGAGATAGAGAAACTAACACATGTATTCATTAACAGGACAACCATGGAGCTTTCAGATGTCAATAACAGAAAGTGTCTGTTTGATGTTTTGCTTTAAGCTAACACTATGCTAAGAAAAACACTATCCTGAAACATTGATTAGAGGGCTTTAGAAACTATATAAATTTTATATATATTTGGACAAATTTGATTTGTTCTAGTTATACAAACTCAGAACAGATAAACGATACATAATGAATGACCACAGTCCATCACGAACTTGGTGGTTAAACTCTATGCAGATGATAGCCCTGTAAGGTTGTTGAGAAACACTTCCAGTAGTGTCAAAAGAAATCTCCAAAACAATGCAGCATTATAGAAATATAATCATGAGGTAACAGATAGAGAGCACACAATTAAGTTTGATGTGTATGTTGGTCGTGCTGCTATGAAATCTTCACGCTGAGCTTTTCCATTGACATAAAGTGATCCATGATGAACCTGCAGGTGACAAATTGAAGGAGAATGTTAAAAGGCTTGATATTAACAAAGCTCCTTCTTTTAGTTTAGACAGTTGATGCTAATATGCATCAAATGAACACATTATCTCAAAGTCCACCTTCTTAATGAGCTTGCAGTAGATTGATCGTAAACAAGGTGGCTAGAAACCTAAACGAAGAATATAAGTACTTTCCCAATAAAACAGTACTTGAAGAAAAGATTATGTAGAAAATGAAAAGGTTGAATCAAACTAATCTTAAGATTTTAGTGCAACAAAATCAAATTAGTCCTGCAGATCACATTCTCAAGTAGTCATCCTTCCGGGGTGATGAATTAATGAAATAGTTTTAATTACCTGAACCAAGTCTCCAGCTTTTGCAACAATTCTCTTAATGAAAACATCATCCTCTCTAATTCCAGCCTGCCTCCACAGACAACCAAGAAGAGGATGATACTAATATGGTAAAAAGATGACCATTAACCTTTAAGGACAGAAAATTAGGCAGATTGTCAAATTTACAGACCTTTTCCGGAGCTCGAAATATGACAATATCATTTATAGCCGGAGCTCGGATATAGTACGAGGCCTGAGAAATTAATAAGTAGCCACCAATTACTTAAAGTTCAAAGTGAATATCACTGTTGGCTTTTTTGGTTAGAAGTAAAAGAAATCTATCCGAATATTAAATTCTGTAAAAGCATAGAACAATGTCAGTTGGCAGAATTGCAAAAAGGTCAGCTCCAATTTAAATGTTTTTGCTAATTTTGTTCTTAATCGCCAAAAATCATCATCACAATATCATATACAAAATAAGAATTGACCACTGCCAAGCAGAGGGGAAGGAAAATCGCAAACCATTATAAGGATAAAAAAAAAAAATTATGATAATTATGTGAGCATTAGAATACGAGCAAACATAAATTGAATTACTGGGTTTAAATGATTGTTAAGCAACAAGCAACAGAGCCTGAAATCCCAAATGCAATACCTGTACCCATCAAGATTCAATACCCAGTAATGATCTAGATTAATCAATCAATTAGCAACACTAAACTTGCAAATTAACTAAGACTGATTATTACCTTTTCAACAATGACCCGATCACCAACGCGAAGAGTAGGATACATGGAAGACGAGGGAATGAAACGAATTTCTGAACACATAGACCATAAAAGCACCAAAACCAGAAGCCTCAAGAACCCATCAAGACCAGGCCATCGAAGAAAACCCCAGCTTTGGCATGGCATCCATCTTAAAGAAAGGAAAGTTAAAAGAAATTGATATAATGCAGATGGTCTCAGAAAACTCATCTCGATCAAGAAATGAAATATACAAAAACGAAGAAAAATAATTCTTCAAATTAAAGAATGAATGGAACAATTTCAAGATGATAAGCTTCGAGTTCTTGATTTTGGTAGAATGAATGGGAAGGGATAAATGATATGGGTATAAGTTGACCAGGTCATTCTTAGTGAGTAAGTTTCCACAGAGAGAGAAGGTATTAGTGACTGGTTTACTTTCAAAGAAGCCGCCACTGTGCTTCTGATTTTAACTTCCAGCCGGATGTCATTCACTCACTCTGCTCTGCTAGTTGAAATCATTTTTTAAGTTTTCAACGTTCTGCAAATTAACATGCAACTGAGCCTTTTACAAAGAAAATAAAATAAAAGTTGTACTTCTTGTTTTAGAAAAAAGGAAAATTATTATTATGTTGTAAATTATAAATTTAAAAAATTGAAATTTTCATTTCAAAAATCACATAAAACATAACTATTGATGCTAAAAGGAATATTAAAAATTGGTAGGGTAGCAATAGGTAATATTTTCCATACGGAATATGTAAGATAAAAAAACAGAAAGGGTGAATATTGATGTTTGTAGAAGTTTGACGTGATCTTGAGAAATAAAGGTTCAAAACTCTAATAGCTGCCTTTTCTATTTTCATTATAATATTATTAATTTTTTTATATTATTATTAACATTTTATAGTCATTATTTCAGAACATTTATTGGAGTTTTAAATTCATATTCCACATTTTTTATTTATAATATATTAATATTATATAATTATATTTTCAAAATATTTATTAGAATGTTTTTTAGTATAGGTTGATAGAAGTCCCAAATGTAATTAATTTTTATGTCATTCTTATAAAATTTATAATAAACAAAATTACAAATCAAGCATTATAAATAAATAGCCCTAAACTTTTACAATAAAATATACTTTAAATTTTATATATCCAAACTCAAAAATAATTATTTTATAATTAATCTAAAATTAACTAATTATTATATCATAAAATAATTTTAAAATCATTATTTTAATTCTAAAAGTACTAATTAATAAATAATAAAAATAACATATAATGAATATACATAATTTTTATTGAAATTTCCGATCTTCATAAGTAATAATTAGAATTTAAAGGGAAAAATGCCTTGTTAAATTCGATATGTGATTTAACTATAGATATTAAATCACTTATGAGTAGAGACAATCACAAACCTTAATACGAGATTAGTCTCATATTTAAAGAGGGCTTAAGGATACGCGGAGGTAAATAAATGAATAAGATGGAGATAAAAATGAATAAGAGATAAATGAAGAGAACGTTTGATTCAGCTCATTGATAGAGTCAATAATTGATTCATACCCAACAACTATATTTTAGGTATTTGTAAGCCTTGTTAATCAATAGTTGAGAGTGAATAGAAGTCTCAATCAGTTGTTGATTTGTTATTTGTGTATGTTTTTTTTTTCTTTCACAATAATTTCTTCTTATTTTGTTTTTTGTTATTTCTTTCAATTCAATTCATTAGATCGTTATGTATATTCAATTATTCATTGAATATTTTTCATATTTATAGATAGTTGCTACAACATTCAAATACTCTAGGACTAGTTATGATGAAATCGTGAAGGAAGAAGAGTTTTTATCTATGTGTTTTTTTTTTTTCCTTTTAAAAGGATGCTTAACTACGAATTGATTTTTTTTAACAAATTATGTGCTACTATCTAAAGAATATATTCTCTTGCTTATCTACTTTTAATTAGATAATTTTATTCAATTACATAATTATGATCTTCATTTTAGTTTTGTATAGTGATAACTTAGATTGTATGTCTTTATTTTAACTTTAAATTTAATTGTAAAAAACCACCGCGCAATGCGCAGGCCTTTATCTAATTATATTTAGACTTCATTAATATTCTAAAAAAAAAAATTTAGACTTTATTAACCCCATAACAATAATTGCTAATAAAATTATTTTTTAAAAAGTAATATTTTTATGATAATTTTTTTATTTATAGTTATTGAAAAATAAAAGTTTTTATTAAATATTGTTTTAAAAATTTCAATTAATATTTTATATGTGTGATATATTAAAATAAAAAATAAAATTATTTTTTAAAAAAGTAATATTTTATGATAAATTTTTTTATTTATAGTTATTGGAAAAATAAAAGTTTTTATTAAAATATTGTTTTAAAAATTTCAATTATATTTATATGTGTATATATTAAAAATAAAAATAATATATCACCTTACATTTTATAATATATATATATATATATTATATATATATAAAAGTTTGTGTTAAATAATTATTTTATATTCTAACAGCAAATACTTTCAAAATTTTATTAAACACCAACATTAATCAGCTAACGCTATCTGTTATCAACAACTATCAGTTATCTGTTGATATGAACCGTTGAACCAAATAAGTCCAAATATATAAAAAAAGGAAATATAAATATGACAAAAAATGGAAATATAAATGCGAAGCAAACTGCATTCGTGTAAATGTTATCCTTTATACCTAAAAAATATAAATTAATAGAATGCATTTCTCTTTTCAGGATTGTAATGCATTTTATAAAAGTATTTTTCACTGTTGCACAAATTTAACACCCATCACTAACTATCACTTCTATAAAAAAACATAGATAATTTGATACCTCGTTATATACTTAATAATACAACTTATTTTCTAATCCAATGCCTGCTAATCCATAAATGACCCTTATTTCACAATTATTATGCAGATTTGCTAGAGGAGATTATAGGTCCAAATTTCTTTTTTTTTTTCCCTTCTTAAATTGATCAAAGCCCATCTTCTTATCTCATCCTCTGCAACTGTTCATCCTGTTGCATTCATGCCCAAAATCAGAAATGGAATAATGCCAATAAAATTAAGACCAAACAAACAAACACAACTTCTCTGATTGATACTTACTTGCGGATAAAGATTGACACCCACACCATACGTTTACCCTTCTCACTCCCAAACCCCCAACAAAACCTATTCTCTGATTTTGCCACGTATCTAACTCATATACATACATATCAACAAGCCACGTCATCTCTTACGGCAACCTTTGCTTTTCATAGTAAGAAAAAAAGTGTTTTAAATCCCCTTTGTATCATCATCCACGCACTCACTGAAAACACTCGGACTGAGGAAACAGAACCGATGATGCCCATAATTCTATCTTTACTCTTCCGTTTACTAGTGGCTCCATCCTGTGCTTCGGCGGACCATGAACCATCCGTTAAAACCAGCATCATCTTCGCAACACTGGGCAGCAGATCGGATTACGCTTTTGATATCTTTACTCTTCCTACACAGGGCCCACCTCCTACCCCAGCCAACGAGCTCCAAATCACCGATGGTAGATCGTTAAATTTCAATGGTCACTTCCCTTCTCCGTCTTCGTCTCTCCTTTCTCTCTTATCCAATCAAACCCTAACATCGGCCACACAGAACTCAGAACCTGTTAGCCTTGTGTACGTTACAGAGCGGGGTGGATCATCAAACATCTACTACGATACAGTTTATTTCAGTATCCCGCGAAGCACCAGATTGAGGTCTGCCCTTGAAATAGAAATTCCTGTGCGCGTTCAAGTGCCGCTGCTGAAGGGCATAGATGGAATTTCGATGAAGGATAAGCCGACTGTGAGTGGAGACTATCTAATATACGTGTCAACTCATGAGGATTCGAAAAAGCCAAGGACGAGTTGGGCTGCTGTCTACTCAACTGAGTTGAAAACCGGGTTGACTCGTAGACTCACCCCCTATGGCATCGCTGATTTTAGCCCTGCGGTCTCTCCTTCAGGGCTTTACACGGCAGTGGCGTCTTACGGGGTGAGTGGATGGAATGGTGAAGTTGCAGAACTGAGTACTGATATTTATGTGTTCTTGACTCGTGATGGAACGCACCGTGTCAAGGTTGTTGAACACGGCGGGTGGCCCACTTGGGTTGACGATTCTACACTATACTTCCACAGAAGAAGCGGAGATGGATGGATTAGTGTTTACAAAGCGATTTTACCAAGTAAAACGCCGATTTCAATTGAGTCGGTGATTGTGGAGCGAGTCACTCCAGCGGGTCTTCACGCGTTCACTCCAGCTACTTCTCCAGGTAACAACAAATTTATAGCAGTAGCTACGAGAAGACCCAATTCGGATTATCGCCATATAGAGCTATTCGACCTTGTTAAAAACGAGTTTATTGAGTTAACTAGGTTAGTATCACCGCAAACTCATCACTTAAACCCGTTTATCTCGCCCGATTCAAGTCGAGTCGGGTACCACAGGTGTAGAGGTGCTTCAAATGATAAAAAGAGTAAGCATTTTGTGTTAGAGAATCTCAATAGCCCAGTGCCTGAGATATCGCTATTTAGAATTGACGGATCATTTCCTTCTTGGTCACCGAAAGGTGATCGCGTCGCTTTTGTTGAATTTCCGGGTGTTTTTGTTGTCAACCGGGACGGTTCAAACCGGCGACAGGTTTATCCGAAATCCGCATTCTCGACCGTTTGGGATCCGGTTCGTCCAGGAATTGTATACACTAGTGCTGGTCCCGAATTTGCCAGTGAAAGCACTCAGGTTGATATTATCTCTATTGATGTTGATAAGGGTAATGTCAAGAAGTTGACCATTAATGGTGAAAATAATGCATTTCCTTCAGTTTCGCCGGATGGGAAATGGGTCGTGTTCCGATCGGGTCGAGCGGGTCATAAGAATTTGTATGCAATGGACGCGGAAGAAGGAGAGAAAGGTGGTATCCATAGGTTAACAGAGGGTCCATGGAGTGACACGATGTGCAACTGGTCACCAGACGGTGAATGGATTGCGTTTGCATCAGACAGGGAAGACCCTGGTTCAGGAAGCTTCGAGTTGTATTTGATCCACCCAAACGGAACCGGATTAAGGAAGTTGGTTCAAAGCGGGTTGGGTGGTAGAACTAACCACCCGTATTTCAGCCCGGATGGAAAGAGTGTAGTATTCACAACAGATTATGCTGGAATATCAGCTGAGCCGATCTCGAACCCACATCATTATCAACCGTACGGGGAAATCTACACGATTAAATTAGACGGCTCTGATTTGAAGAGGTTGACACATAATTCGTTTGAAGATGGGACCCCAGCATGGGGTCCTATATATATTGAGCCAAACGACGTGGAGTGGCCAAACGAGAGACCACAGTGCCAGTTTGAGGACTGTCATTGGCTTAATGGAATGCCAAGCCGAGATGTTGGGGTTTTGAGTAAGAATCAATGCAAAGCATAGTTTATATTTATTTTCTGCACTGTAAATGAGAGAAAGATCATATAAAGGCATAATGACTGTATATTTTATGTGGTTTTTGTGGAAAGATTGTAATTAAAAAATAATATGGGTGTTATTATTTATATCTGTTTCTTTAATTAGCAAGTTCAATAGCAGATTAAAAAATGAAATATTTTAATCCAAGGCACTAGAATTGGATTTTATAAAAATATATATTTTTGATTTCAGAATCAAAGAATTAATTTTTTTTTTCTTTAAATAGTTATTATTCAGATGACGACTGTTTTATTAACGTTTCATCGTATATTAACTCCTTTAAACTTCAAACAATAGTATAATTTTTGTACCAAATGAATACATGAATTTTTTTAAGGATTTACATCTTGATTTTGTTCCAAAAATCTATCAATGACTGCCATAAAAAAGAGAAAAAGAAGAAGAAGAAGAAGAATGGTAATGGTAGCTTCGGTCGTGAAAAATTGCCGGAGGAATAGATGGAGTGAAGTTATTGTTTGCGACAGATTTATACTGACACAGAGAACAAATAAAACAACTGAGGTTAAATAAATTAGGACATAAAATAGATAAAATTTTACCAACAAGATATTGAATATTTGCTTACTTCGTCTCGTCTGTACTTGTCTCTGCTTGCAAATAAATCAGTATTATAAATGTCAAATAACCGCCGGTGAAGATCTTTAACACAGTCGCTCATATCAGAAGCCTTGTCAAGTGTATAATTTTGCAAAGCAAAGTTCTGTTTAATGAAAAAGAACCCATAAATCCCTAAAAATAAAAAAGAAACCATAAATATATAAAGAGAGCCATATAGGGCACACCCATGTTGTTCTTGAAGGGGAAAAGTATATAATTAGCCAAGAAAATTGCAGAGGCAGCTGTAAGTGATGGAGCATAGCAAAGAATTTTGTAGTCTAGGAGAGATAGCTCAATTATGTATTCAGCCAAGTACTCCAATGATGGATCCTATGTATGAAGGGCATTGAAAATAAATTATAAGTATAATACTAAAGAATAAATACTCAATTTGAACTAAAATTAACTTTATATGTTATTCTTTAGAGTAAATTGATCATAAATTCAAAATTTTATATTTTAAAAATTAATTTTGACTATAGTTGTTTGGTTGGAAATTTTAAATTTAGTTTGAAAAATATTTGAATTCGACTCAATTTTAACTGAATTGAACTTAAAGTCTAAATTAAAATGTAAAGATAAAACTTTCTTTTCTTTCTTTTTTCTTTCGAGTTAAAGACAAATAAGATATACCTGATTTGTTCCATCAGCAGTAGCATAAACAAATAATCTGCATGTCATGGCAATGAATTGTAAGAGAATATAGAAATTAATTGGCCTATTGATTAAAAAACAAAAACTCAAAACTTTTCCAGAAAATTAAAATTATTATATCATATTTCAAAATAGACTATTATATCCTAATTTTTAAAAAATTCTTGTAATTGCAACCCGTTTGATCATAATTGGAATTATTAGAAAAAAATTGAGTTTTTTTGTCATTAATCAAAATAATTAACCGGTAAAGTCGATAACCATAATAAATTAGTTAAACGTACCCAAGAAAATATTAAGCTGTTGGGACTGTCATCTCAAAATTCAATTACTTCAAAACCTCCAATTCCATTTGTTCAATCTGCCAAAAATGCAAGCTTAAATGACAGATTGTTTTGTAATAGAAAGTAGAAATTATAAAAAATAAAGCAAAATAAAGCAAAAATAAGCATGAAAGCGAGGATGACACTCGTACCTCCTCCTCGTACAAGTTATCAACAAGGTCACAATAAACCTTAACCTCAGGTAACTCTAATTCCTCATATTTTCTGTCAGTAGGTGAGATGAGATATTTTTTTTCTTGTCAGTATGTATAGAAAATTGTTCCTTAGACCAAGTTAATAAAAGAATAGAATTTTCTTTGTTTCCGTGTAGCATTAGATGGGCATATACACCCGAAAATCACACTTGTTCGGAGGGAAAAAAAACCCTTATGCTGTCAGCTCTGCAGGGAATTAATACCTCCTGATCCTATCAAAAAAGAACAAGCAGGCGAGACCAACTAGCTGAAATTTATCCTTTGAAATTACATTCCCTGAAAGATACCGATCCATGTAGTTGATAGACATGTATACTGTTTCTCATTGGAGGTTGAGATATACATCACCAAACTGTGATTTAAATTAAAATATGGTCAGTCATGCGAATATATATATATATATATTTGAAAACAAGAGAATTCGTATATTATCTTTGAGAATAGAACTCAATCAGTACATCCGGAATATCATTCTACAGTTGAAACCTACTATGGCGAATAGAATTACGCACCAGTAGATGGACACTCATTCTCCAGTCATTTAATCCAAAAAACTTTAATATCTGGTCTAGTAAGGAGTAAGGCCTTATAATCAGACACAATCAATCCAAAATCAGAATTATCCTTGCTCATTGAGTTCAAAGGCAAATATAAAGATTGACAATCAGTAAAAATGCAACCACGATCAAGTAAAGAAACAGAGACATAATGCAAACACTGCCTCAAAGCAAGAGCTTCCGCAATCAACGGATCATCACCACCTTCCTTAAAGCCTGAAATAGCTAACTAAAAATGACCTTCAGCATCCTCAATAGCCAAGCCAAAACCCACAAAATCCATTGCCCGAAACACTGCACCATCAACATAGGCGAGCCAAGTAGCTGGATGCTCAATATGGGTTGGTTGGGCAGGAGCAACTGTAGCGTGTATTACTGCCTTTGCTGCTTGTGATGAAGCTGATGCAGCCCAATAATCATCTAGAAGCAGGCGAGCCGCATGAGAAATTTGCCAAGGATTCGGCCAGGCATTGGACCACAACATAGCGTTCCGAGCAGCCCATAAATTGCATGCAACTGTAGCCTTCAGCTCGGCACGTTGCTTTCCTTTCGAAGAGATGATATGATGGAACAATTCCTGAAAAGACAAATTTATATTAGCAAAAATAAAACTAGCTTGCCTCCACACCTCTTTCACAACAGAACACTTGACCAGCACATGATCCCCATTCTTAGATTCTTGGCAAAAGATTGAAGTGAAGTATTAACACCCCTCTGTGATAAATTATCTCTAGTGTAGAGCACATTACGACCCATACGCCACATAAAATCTCGGACTTTGGGGGAAACATCAAGCTTCCATATCTGCTTTCATAACGCATCTTCACCACCACCACCATTTCTAACCAAACGGTAAGCTACACGATAAGCAGTTTTGACCGTATAAAAGCCTTTCCGATCAAAATGCCATATTAATTTATCATGATGGGTATAAAGGCTTAATGGGATACTCAAAATCTTCCTCATATCATTAACTGTAAAAAGATGAATAATCTTTGAGATATCCCATCTCCTCTCGCCTGTAATAAAGAGATCACACACCCTTAAAGCATCAAGAATAAAAAGAGCACCATCCTCCACATAGGCATTGTTCTCACGGGGAATCCAAGGATCTCTATTCACATATATATTCCTCCCATGTCCTATCCTCCATCTCACTCCCTGCTGCAACACCTGGTTTAGAGAACAAGACACTCTTCCAGACAAAGCTACAACTCGATCTAAGAGTAGCAGATAGAAAATCCCCCACAGGGAAAGCAGTGTTGAAACATCTTAAATCCCTGAACACCATCCCACCAACAGACTTCTTACTACACATGCGATCCCAAGCAATCCAATTAATAGCCCTATGTTCCTTCGTACCATTCCGTCAATATTTATTAAACATCACCTACATCTCATTGCACACAGATACTGGAAGCAAAAATACATTCATACAATAAGCTGGTATTGCCTACGCTACAGATTGAATTAAAACTTCGCGTCCAGCTCTAGAAAGACAACGACTATTCCAGTTATTCATTCTCTTCCTCATCCTATCCTTAAGAAAAGAAAAAAAATATGTTTTTTTATTCCGCCCTATCAACAATGGCAACCCCAAATAATTACTATACCCAATAGGTAAAGAAACATTCAGAAGCCTAGAAATAGCCCCACTAACATTTCTAGAAACAACAGGACTAAAGAGAATGCCAGACTTATTAAGATTAACAGACTGACCGGAAGCAGCTTTATAATTACCCAGAAGAGCCTTGATTTCTATAGCCTCCTGAACATTACCCCCAAAAAAGAGCAAAGAGTCATCTGCAAAGAATAAATGGGATATCCTAGGACACCCAGTTCCTGCCCAAACCCCATGAATTAGACCATGATGTTCCGTATCTTTAAGTAGCACTGATAAGCATTCTGCTACAAACAAAAACACATATGGGGAAATTGGATCCCCTTGCTGCAACCCCCTAGAAGGAATGATGGGGCCCACTTGCTTATCATTCACACACACTTTGTACTCAATATCCATGAAACACATTTTCATCCAGTTCAACCACATAGCATCAAACCCCAAAGCAGTAATCATATCACACAAATATTCCTAATTAACCCGATCATAAGCCTTTGCAATGTCGATTTTAAGGGCACAAGCACCATTCTGACCCTCTTATACCTTCCTGAACATTACCCCCCAAAAAAGAGCAAAGAGTCATCTGCAAAGAATAAATGGGATATCCTAGGAACACCCAGTTCATGCCCAAACCCCATGGAATTAGACCATGATGGTTCCGTATACTTTTAAGTAGCACTGAATAAAGCACATTCTGCTACAAACAAAAACACATATGGGGAAATTGGGAGTCCCCTGCTGGGCAAGCCTAAGAAAGGAATGATGGGGGCCGCACTTGCTTATCATTCACACACACTTGTTGTACTCAATAGTCCATGAAACACCATTTTCAATCCAGTTCACGACACATAGCATCAAACCCCAAAGCAGTAATACATATCCTTTGTACTCAATATCCATGAAACACATTTTCATCCAGTTCAACCACATAGCATCAAACCCCAAAGCAGTAATCATATCACACAAATATTCCTAATTAACCCGATCATAAGCCTTTGCAATGTCGATTTTAAGGGCACAAGCACCATTCTGACCCCTAACTCTACTCCACAAACTGTGGATAGTCTCATAAGCCACCATAAAGTTATTTGTAATCAAACAACCCGGAATAAAAGCAGACTGATTTTTAGAAATCAATTTATGCAGAATGTGTTTCAATCTGATAGCTAATGCTTTCGACACAATTTTATACAACACATTGCAAAGAGCTTTTAGCCTAACATCTTTAACTAACACTGGATTATCACACTTCGGGATTAAAACAATTAAAGTTTCAGTTAAAGATTGAGGAAGAGTACCTCGGGTAAGCCATAATCGGCAACTATTGGAGATATCCCCGCCCAATAAACTCCAATTCTTCTGAAAGAAAGCCAGGTTCAATTCATCCGATCCAGGTGCTATATCTGGGTTCATTTGAAAAACAGCAGTCCGAAATTCCTCATCCAGAAAAGGCTTGGTAAGCTCTGCATTATCATTATGGTCGACCAAAGGCTGAACCAGTCTAATAATTTAGCTGCGATTTGGAGCGGCTACTCCTTGGAAAAGATCATCAAAGTAATCCTTCACCTGAGCTTGAATACCATCATCATTGCAGACTCATGCACCCAAAACATCCTATAACCTTTCAATGCGATCAGCGACGTCTAGCTCTGATACTATTTTGAAAAAATTTCGAATTCTTGTCCCCATTTCTCAACAAGAACACTTTAGCTTGCTGCTTTAAGCGGACTTCATCTTCTGCCAACAATCTATTCCACTCTTCCTTTAATCATTTAATAGTTAGCATGTCCAATGTGTCAATCTCCCATTCAAGCTTCTGCCGCACAAAATGCTTCTGCCCCCAAAGCCGAATGTCCTCAATTAATTTATCCCTCCGCACCACAAAGTCCTCACTAGCCGAACCTCGCCAAGAGTGTGAGACCACACCATAAAGTCCATCATCCAACAACCAAGCATTATCAAACCTAAAAAATACGATTTGTGTAGCCCAACGAACCAACCGTATCAACCAAAAGTGGGGAATGATCGTATACAGGAGCCACCAAATTATTACAAACCTCATTCTGGAACATACCACTCATGATGGCGTAGCATAGGCCCTATCTAACTTCTCTCGCACACAATCAGGAGAGTTCTCCCTGTACACATAAGTAAACAAAGATCCAGTTGTAAGGATATCAGATAAGTTAGCATCCATCAAAGCCTCCCGGAACCCATTGATCAAACTAGATGCATGAGGCGGCCCGCCATCTTTGTCATAATCTGCTGCAACATCATTATAGTCTCCTACACACAGCCAAGGCAAACTACTATGAGCTGCAAGAGAACGTAATAAATTCCGAGTCCCTTCGTCTTGTACTTTCAGGATACCCATAAAACCTCGTGAATGTCCTCATACCATTCTGACCCTATATTTCGCGGTCAATGAAATTATGAGAATAGTTCTGAATTGATAACCGGAAAGAATTATTCCACAAAATAGAACGTCCACCACCAATTCCAATACTGTCAACTGAAAAGCAGTAATTAAACCGTAAAAAAGAATGGACAACTTCCATTTTAATGCCATGAACTTTTGTTTCAGATAGAAAAACCACTGCTGACCAATACCGTGAAACCAAGTCCTTCAACGCACTAACTGCCCAAGGATTACCCGCTCCTCGGCAGTTCCATATTAGAAGTGGCGTCAATCGACCTTCAGCTTGGAAGGTTCGACCGTTCTGTTATTAGTTGTACCCACTTCTATATCCTTGGTTGCAAAAATAGAAGTGGCAGTCTGATCATTATCATTATCACTGGATAAACCTCAGATTGACGCAGATGCAAATAAATTTCCTTTGTGTTAGTAGCAAACATGTTTGCTTATCCTTTCCTTTGCTTGGTCCAACGAAGAATTTAGCTTTTATATATGAAATTATCAATTCTTGCTCCTAATAGGATTTTAATTTAGGAACTCCAACTTAATTCGGGTATCCTTGGGTATTAATTAAATGCTAAAATATACGCTCACTTTTCGTTTTTCTATTTGTACTAATGGATAATAATCACATAATTAAAATGCATAATTGTTTCCAAAGGCATGTTGGCTATGTATAAATTCTTATCTCAGACCAAAAAAGAAAAAAAAAAAACAAAAAGACTTGAGAAAATTTTTTTAAGTTGGTGGTAAGACTTGAGAATTGTTTAGTCAATGTTATTTGATACAATTGCACTAGTAACACTGCTAAAAATCTAGGAAACAAGAAAAAAGATATATCATACAAGATTTATCTATCAGCAGTACTCACCACAATCTAAATCAATTAAGCATCAAACTACTACAATCAACAATTAAAGGGGGAGAAAAATGATACATTGAAGAAGAACACATGTATTCCATTGCTTGGAAAAATGATTCACTCGGCAACTTTATCCAACAGAGCATTGGAAAAAACTAAGGATACTATCCTAGCTAACTTTGGTTGTTGAAGTATTCTTGAGGTATTGAAGGTGGACAGTACTTCTTTGCTACAAATTTGTACTGAGACAAAAATAAACAACTCCAATTAGACAAGGAGAAATATTGAAGTTTTGAGCTTTGTATTACAATGGAAATCTTGCTTACCTTATGCTGACTATATTTCTCCCTGATTGCTGGTAAGGTAGAATTGTGGCTGCCGCAGCAGAGGCAGTGGAGTTCCTTGACACATTCACACAAATCAGAAGGCTGGTAAAGTGTGTAATGCTGCAAGGTGGAATTCTGTTCCAAAACGAAAGGATTTTCAGGGCATTAGAGCAGAGTTTAGCTAAAGCAACAGAGCGAAAAGACTTTTATCACACACATACCCACGGTCTTCTTGAAGGAAGAAGTATGTATTTTGCCAAGAAAATTGCAGAGGCAGCAATAAGTGATGGAGCATAGGAAAGCATATTGTACTCTAGGAGAGATAATTCTGCAATGTAGTTGGCCAAGCACTCTAGATGCATTGATGGAACCTGGGTACCACATAAAATCCATTCATATTTTAGGGATAGAGATGGCAGAAATCATATATAAAACTACTTTGTAACCATGAGATTGTACAAAATGTTAGAATGATTATTAACCTTTTCATTTGAACATTTCTAACTGTTTGAGAAAAATAATGCTAGTATTCTTATTTATTAGCATATAATAAAAACAGTCAGCCAGTTGTTCAAGATGCATTACTATGCAGAGCCAATGGTCTAAGCAATTAGGGATAGGTACCTCATTGGCTCCTTGAGAAGCACGGACAAATCGCCTGCATATCATGGGAATATACAAGAAATCAAAATATGCAGTGAAGCATGCAGAAAATAAAAAATGGAGATAGTCATTACTTAGACATTACCTAAGGAAACATTTTGCTGTTGGGGCTGTCATTTCAAACTTCAAGAAATTCAAAACGGCTGATTCCATTTCTAGAACCTATTCACATGAATGCTTGTGTGAGGAAGCATATCATTGTTATAATTTGAGAATTGGATGGTAAGACATATACCTCATCCCTAAAGTAGGTGTTATCTGTGATGTAGCAAAACTCTTCCACCTGGGGCGCACAAATTTCCTCGTATTTTCTGCCGCAGCAAACATTTTCCTTGTTAATATATGAGTTGGTGAAAATTTTAGAGGAAAAAGGAGGTTCCGCACATAAGAATAAAGAAAGACATAAGCAAAGAATGTTTCCTTACGAAGCAATCATCATGCAGGCAACACCAAGCAGCTGCAGTCTTTGTCTGTTCATGGCATTTCCTGAAAGATATCTATCAATGTAGTTCACAGTCAAATATAATGTATCAGGTACAAGTCTGTACTCTTCAGCCACCTGCAGTATGAATTAGACATGGTAAGTGAGGTGATACTAAGCAGACGTGTTACAAATCTGTAATGCACAAATAGAAACAAAATTACCTCCACAAGCCAATCAATCAGAATTGCACGCATGCTGGCATTTATGTCTTTCTGAATTCTTTCCATAAAATCTGTGGATGGCCTTTTCTTTGTCTGAAAGCAAACAAATTGAATAAAGACAGAGCAAATAATGTGAAAACCAAGTGCCATAATTTCGAATAGCATTCCAGGAGATGGCTTATAATTTATGGAAGAAGTGATTTCTTTAGCCTCATTAAAGCATATATAGGACCCATTTAGTGCCAGCAATCCGGAAGTGCATTCAACATTGGAAAAGAAAGACAAACCTCTGATGCTCGTAAATGCTTGTAAATATCACAAGCAATGGTAGCGCAAAGCTGAGGGTCCTCATAATTGTCATCAAGATTAACAATTTTATCATCTGTTTCCATATCAACAAGCATATCTCTGCAGCACACATTTTCTGCAAGCATTAAGTCAAACGAAATTAGGGAATAGCAAATTAAATCTTAAGAAGTTTGGCAATGGAATAGAAGATTAATAATGCATTCCATTTATGCTTAAATAATTGATGAAAAGGGTTGAAAAACTAAGACTATACCTTCTGTTTGCACATGGTCTGAGATATAGAGATTGCTGAGAGTCTTCTTATTGATAGAATCAATTGCTGGAATATCGTTGTGGTCCAGATACTCAACTTCAGGGCTCTTGAAAGAATCACAAGTTGACATTGTTTCATCCAAGGAAATTGATTTACTAGGAGAGACATCCATGTTGCATGGAGCAGGATCAACAACAATACTAGGGACCGCCTGATCACTTCTTGGAACAGATGTAACCTTACATGCACCAATCGCGCTTGATTTTGAATTTAATGGAGCTAAATTGCTCGCTGAGAAGCCTGTATTGCTGGTGCAAGCGGGAGGTCCCTTTTTCACCTTAGCAATTTTATTTGAGCATGGTGCCTATACATATTTTAATTCAGTTAGGAACATCAAGTTCACAGGAAATGAGGAGCAAAATCTTAATTGCAATTTAAGAACAACACCAAAATAAAGTCTGATTATAATAATTTAGATAAAAGAACATTCGAAAAATTCCCACATTAATAGCTTGCTAATGTCTATGAGCTTTCTACTACATCAATCACAAGCAAATATCCAAGAATCTTTACACTTCATGAAATGTAATCATGATTCCAGAAGTTTCATCAAATTCTCTTAAGATATTCAGAATGATTAAAACCCCCCATTAAATTAAAGACAAAAAAAAAAAAGGTGAAAACATACATATCCTTGGCAATTGACAACTTTCCACTTAGATTAGGTAATTACTGATATCAGGCCCTGGTCGTCAAGGTACCAAACTTTTATGCTTAACAGGACACAGAAAAACACCCATATTTAGTAATTTCGAGCCAATAAACTAACAAAACCTTTGAAAGAAAAATGATGATCGTTTTGTTTCTATTTTCTTCATACAGTTTATACCGTTCCAAGTTTCTCGTCTATAATAACCACAAATAAGACGGCTCTTTTGTTCTTCAAAAGATTATGAAATGGAAAAACCCTTTGGAGATTAAAGAAAAAAAAAGAATGACGACTCCTTGGAACCTGAATTGGTCAATATATAACGAAGCCACACGCATTAAGAAACTAATTGACAACAAAAACTCAGACCCACTTAGAATACTTTCAGTTTCATCAATTCTCAGTAATTAAACAAAGAGAAAACCCATTAAAAAAGAGAACAAAAACCCACCAAAGTAGAAGATGGAATCGAAGTTCTTGACCCCTTTTGAGGAACATTCTTATGATTCGTGATGTCACCAAGAGGCGCTCGCTTTCTTGCAATGTGAGTTGTTGCGACCGTGGGCTTCCCTATATTCTCCGACGCGGATGAAGACGAAGCGTGCCGCTTCGCTAGAGACGACGTTGTGGAAGAAGAAAAAGAAGGGCGGCGAGTCTGCGTCGACATTTCGAACAAACCCTGAAGAAACCCTCTCCCTCTATTACTAACTGGAAAACAGTTCAATATAAAGAGAGAAACAGAGGCTTTAAAAGCAAAATTCTTGTTTGGACTTTGAAAGGCAAAACGTAAAGGGGTTGAGGTTTCCTTGCAGGGGCTGAAAAAGAGAGGAGGAGAGTCTGTTCAAGTGAGAGGGGGGGAGAGTGTGATCGTGTGTTTTGCTATTTAATATTTGTTTAATGCTTTTGAGGCGGGGAAGGGGTTGATTTGAATTGAAGGAAGATCTGGACCGTCGATTCTAGCTCGTCATTCGTTAGGAGCGTAGGGGAGTGGGGCCCACTGAATAGTTACCCTGTGCTTTGCGTTTGGACTTTCTTTATGAACGACAAACCCAGTAATGCCACCTGGACAAGACATGTCAGCTTCTATCGTTTTGGCATATTTGAGTGGATCTGTTATTGGTTCGAAAGTCACAGAGCTGTCAGAGTGGTTCAAAGTTTTTTGAATTCGAAATTTAAACGGTCACTGGATCTGTCTTTTTTAGTCCATTCACCAACAGAGACATGTTTCTGAATAATAGAGCTGGTCAGTCACACTAGTAGAAAATGGAAGTTTAATTAATGCTTTCAAATTACAATTAGGTTATATCATTAGGGATTATGTATTAGATTTGTGTTGCTTAGGTTAATAGGTTTTTTGACAACATGCCCAAATCATCTAATTAGTGATGCTACGAATATAACTTTGCGAAAAAATCAAATTCATTTACCGTGTAAATGTTTAAACATGTTATAATCTTAGAACAATAAATAAACTTAACATTTCCCTTTTTCTTATAAAAGCAAAATTCAAAAGCTAGAGGAGGATAGAACAATCGACTCCGAAAATCAAACTAAAAAACAATTCAATTATAATTTCAATTTTAAATTTCTTTTATGTTCATTGTAGTTTTTCTTTCTATGTACAATCAATAATCATTGTTAAGAAACTATTTCAATTCAAGCTATCTCTCCCGTTTATAAAGCTTTTCTACAATTTATTTTATTAATTATTAATTTAATTCTAGTAGTTAGTAAAGCATTGTATAGTGTATCTAAACTCATTCAATTTTTTAATTAGGAGTTCAGATATCACAATTATTTATATAGTTGATAGATTTTAATACCTATCACGCTCAAAATATTAGTCAACGTCGATTGTTTCACGATGCGAACAAGATCTTTTCAATATGGTTCGTTGTACATGGTCATCAATATTTTGATTTTAGAATTCTTCAGCCATCTACATCTCTTTAAGCAGTGGCAAATTTAGAAAAGTAATTTTCACGAATGGATTCAATCTAAAGTTGCACCCAATATAAGTAAAGTCGGTATACAAACTGTGTATTGAATTGGGCATATAATTATAAACTATTAAGAAAGGATAATCTATTAAAACAATGAATAAAAGGGCACATTTGTTTAAATAACAAAATTTACACTTCATTTTGGAAACAATTAACACCACCTTAAATTAAAGCATACTAATATATTATTTCTAAATATATTACTTTTAGTGGATTAAATTATATTATACTTTCAAATTTAGATTCAGTTTTAAATTTATTTGAACCCATTTTGTTAAACTGTAATAAAATGCAATTTAATATAATATATTTTTAATCTAAAAATAAATTAAATTGCATTTGATTTACATTACATTCAATCATTGGTTACTAATTCATCCGAGTCAAAGTTTAAAATAAAGTCTCAGGCTAAATATAAATCTTTAAGCTTTTGCAATTTTTTTTATATTAAAACTCAGCCTGTTACGTAGAATGCAAAATGGATATACAGTTGAGTCGATTTAGGAGCCCCAAACCCTTAACTTTAACAATTTACTTACATTTATCTTGAAAATATAAAAATGGTGCCTCTAAAATATTAAACTCTGTCAATTTAAATATTTATTAATCACAATTTATCAAAATTTACTAATCGCTTTTTATCAATTTTACGAGTGTTATGAAAATAAAGAGGCTATCCTTATTTTATAGTATTTCAAGTTGTTGTGGGTCCCGTATATGAATGACACAACCCAAGAGGGAGGTGAATTGGGTTTTCTAAAAATTGAAATAAATTTTAGAAATTTTAAACAAAATATAGAATTCTAAGTGCAGCAGAAAACACACAGAACTTTGTGAGAATAGAATATGGATTAGAATCACCTCACAACTTTGTGAGAATTAAAGAATATGGATTAGAATCACCTCCACAATGTTCTAATTAGTAAAAGATAGGAATTCTGTGCGAAGTTGCAGCTAGTTGATCTATGAACAGCTTTCACAACTGACTCATACACTATAGAAACTTCTTTATGAAGGAAAGTTATTGAAATTGGAACTTCCTCATAAAGTTTGAAGAAAACATATAAAGCTTTGTGAAAGACATTATTAATTCAGGAACTTTAAATTCAGAACTTCTTCACAGAGCCTTAATCAAATATCAGAACGACTTTATGATGGAAAGCTATCAAGATTAGAACTTTCTCATAAAGTTTAGAAAGATAATTAGAAACCCAATCAGTGATATATACTGAGAATAGAACAACAGTTACAACATGGTATATTCACTTATTAGAATACCAGAGTTCTAATGTTCAGAAAAGATAAGACTTATTATCGTTTTAGAACATCTAAATCAATAACAATTTTAGCGTTTCTAAAAATTAAATAGAGGTGTAATAAAAGTAATATCAAGCAAACTTCAGAAATTAAAAGATGAACACAGTGATTTATCCGGCACTAACTCGCCTACATCCACTCCCCCAAGACGCATCTGAGATTCCTCAACTTATGTTATCTCTTAAAGGGTAAGAGACAAACCAACAGTACAAGGCAATAGATCAAACACTAGAGCTACCCCTTTTGTCCCACCTAGATTTTCCAAAGGTTCTAGTTAACTCAACCCTTTCTGTTTTTTGGCAGGTACAAAAAACTCAAATCAGATATTAATATCCATACCATTGGGAAGAAGGGTCGCTTTTGAAACTTCTATCTCAATAGCTTCTATCCTAATGCTATTACACACAAAAGTTTAACAAAATAAAGAGCCTGTCTACTATAGATTACAAAATCTAAACAGACAGAAAAGAAAACGCCTATATAAGCACAGGAAAAACAATTTTATCATATTAGAGATCGATTAGAAACACAGAACTTGTTTTTCAAAGAGTAAATTGTAAAAATTCTTTTCACTTTAAATATTGAACACGGTTAAGTGTAAGATGAAAGAAAATGGGGTGGTTAGAGAGTAAGTTTTTGAGAGATAAGATTTGATCATGAGAGATGCTCTTAAACAAAAAACTCTTACTTCACCACTGTTAAGACTGAAAAGCTTCCTTTATATAGAGTTGCCTAAGAATGCTGTCACCTTGGAATATATTTTTATTTTGAAATCCATAATATCTTCTTTCCTTATTTAGAAGATATGAAAATCTTGTTACAAAAGTTTATTTTATCCTTTTTTTGGATAAGAGAATAAAACACGATTTTTACTTTCCTTTAATCAAAAAGATTTCGAGGCAGCATTATTTTGAAAAATGTTTGTGGAAGGAGATCTTACTAAAACGAAAAAGATTTCTTCGTTTTAAGGTAAGGAAAATAGATTTAAATACTTTAGATCTTTCAAAATATATCCCGAAAAGTGGATTGATTTTAATTGACCAAAACATTAGAGAATAAAATCTCTTTAGTTTAGGAAAATAAATCATTTCAGATTTTAAAGAATATTTTCAAAAAATAAAATATTTTTACGAAGGAAAATATTTTGAAGAAGTCTAATTTTCTGAAAAATATTTTTGAGAGGAGAAATAATTTGTGCTATATAATGGACTCTATCCTACAAAAGTATCCTAAATACCTAGCTACTAGGTTCTTCGAATATCTTCACACTCAATGTAGGACTTGCATTGGTACGATTTCTTTCCATACACATTTCTGCATTTAAAAAAATATTAGCACAAAATTATATAATTTGTAAATTTATTTTAGCACAAATAATATAATTTTAAATTTATTTATTTTGTATTAATCATCAAAATCTGAGATTAGAAATTGACCCTTGAACCAACAGTTGTTTAGCAGTAAACTATGGAAAAATAAATAAATAAATTTAGAAATAATAAAATAGATATTATATATAAAAAATGACAGAATAGGTCTTTTGTCTTTGATAATGATATTGCAAGCAATATTAGACTGCAACTATTATTAATAAATAAATCGTATTTAAATATCAACGTAAATCAAAGAAATTATGATTTTATATCATCAGATGAAGTGAAAATTTATATGCAATGCTCTAATTTATTATCGAGTTCTTCATTTTATTATTTAAGCTAGGGTGATTGAGCTTGAAATTTTGATCAGCACAACAAACATTTACTGACTTGGAATCAAAGTATCACAATATGACATATCCAAACAACATAAAAGCCAATCATATCCGAACAATACACCAAGCAAGACATGCAATTAAGCCACAAAAAGAAAAAAAAAAAAAGATACGAGATCTATCAACTGTCAACACAATGGATTTATTATCTAAAAAGAGCTATAAACAATCAAATTAATACCTTTACTACGGGTGATCCTCTTGATATTTCGATCAGCAGATTTCTTTGTTTCAGAGAATATCTCCATCGAACCAGTCCATCCATACTCCTTTTTCAGTTCAGCCACAACTCAGTCTCCTTCATGGTAGAAACTACTATTACAGTCATTTGAAGTAGTTTTGCTCTCACATTCTCCAATTTCTGCTCCTCCTTATCATTCCTCTTCCTCTTCTTTTTGAGACAAGCAGATTTTCCTTTTCTTTTTCCTTAATTGGTTGATTCAGCTTGAAATTTTGATTTGTGGTACTCGTGAGTACTCTGCTGTGTTTGTGCCTTCAACAAGATGAATTATTGAAGCTTTTCAAGTGATTGAGGTTTTTGATCAGATTTGGCTCCCTTTGCCAGTTTCGAGAGCAAAATGAGAGATTCAGAGAGAGAGAGAGAGCACAAAGAGATGTAGAAAATGAGTAGAAAAAATGAGTGGGAAATTGCTCTGTTTATGGAGAGAGTTCATATGAACAGAGTACTGTATTGATTGCGTTTGTTTTGAACTTTTTGAAGCAAAATGCATAAGATTTCGACACGTGTACTGCCAGATGTAATTTTACAACCGTGACAATTTGTTAAGGTTAATTGTTACATCGAGCTTTTAACCATGGTGTAACCAATTCTCTGCACTTTTGAATTGAAACTAGTTGTTTTTATGATGTACCATATGCTAATTTTTTATATTTATTTAGTTTTTTTTTATTTATATAATTAAATTATAAATTTTTATTTAGATTGTAATAAATAAATTATAAATTTTTATTTAGATTGTAATAAATATAGTGATTTTTATATAGATTGTCACCAGTTCTCCCACTTATCAAGCTTTGTTGGCTCAAGGGTCAAATATTAATCTCGAAATTTTGATGATTCAAACAAAACAAATAAATTTAAATTATATTATTTGTGCTAGTAATGTTTTATGCAGAATACATATGAAAAATAAATAAATGAACAAGGCAAGTTCTACATATCCAAAGATTATGAAGACATTCGAAGACCCTAGTGGTTAGATTTTTAGGATTCATTGTAGGATAGAGAGAACATTCAATTATAAGCACAAAAACCAATTTTTTCATCCAAAATTATTTTCAAAAATAGTTTCTTCAAAATAAATTCTTTTTGTTCCTTGATTTTCGTTAAAAAATTGTTTTCGGAATACTCTTAAGATTTTCCGAAATATTTGAATTAAACCTAAATTAAAGAGAACTTTATCTCTAAACAATTTGGGTAATAAGAATAAATCGAATATAAATCGAATAAAGATCTTATGCACTTCATTTTCGGAAACAAAACCTTTTTGAAGATCTAAGAATCTTGATTTATTTTCTTACCTAAAATGAAGAAAGATTTTATTTTCATTTTAGTAAGAAAAATCATTTCGGAAAATATTTCTGCAAGTATTCACTTTCGAAATACTTTATTTTAAGGAAAGAAAATTTCGAGGATTCACTTTCGAAATATTTGTTCCTTGATTTTTCGTTAAAAATTGTTTTTCGAATACTCTTAAGATTCGAAATATTTGAATTACCTAAATTAAAGAGACTTTGTCTCTAAGTAATAAGAATAAAATGAATAAATCGAATAAAGATCTTATGCACTTTATTTTCGGAAACAAAACCTTTTTGAAGATCTAAGAATCTTGATTTATTTTCTTACTTAAAATGAAGAAAGATCTTATTTTCATTTTAGCAAGAAAAATCTTTTCGGAAAATATTTATTCAAGTATTCACTTTCGAAATACTTTATTTTAAGGAGAGAAACTTTCGAGTATTCACTTTCGAAATATTTGTTCCTTGATTTTTTGTTAAAAATTGTTTTTCGAATACTCTTAAGATTCGAAATATTTGAATTACCTAAATTAAAGAGACTTTGTGTTTAAACAATTTTGGTAATAAGAATAAATCGAATAAAGATCTTATGCACTTCATTTTTGGAAATAAAACCTTTTTGAAGATCTAAGAATCTTGATTTATTTTCTTACCTAAAATGAAGAAAGATCTTATTTTCGTTTTAGCAAGAAAAATATTTTCGGAAAATATTTATTCAAGTATTCACTTTCGAAATATTTTATTTTAAGGAAAGAAAGATTGTCTCTTATTTACTTACCAAAAAGAAAAAATATTGACTCAAAAAGTTTTGGTAACAAGGATTTCCGTATCTTCGAAATAAAGAAAGACAATATTCAGATTTAAAAAAGAGATTTTTACTTTCTAAAAACGAGAGTCACAGATCTCTCTATAAAAAGACATTTTCAGTCTTGAAAAATGTGGAAGAAAGAGTTTTCGTTTTAAGAGTATTCATCCATTGATCATATCCTTTATCTCTCAAAACTTACTTTCTACCCTCTTATTTCTTTTCATCTTTATACTTTACGTTTTTATCTTTAAATGAGAAAAGAAATTTTATAACAACTTCTTTTGAAAAACAGTTTTGTTCTCTAAACGATTTTCTAATCTGAAAAACTGTTTTTTTTGTGCTTATATTTGCATTTCTATCTGTCTATTTAGATTCTGTAATCTTTAGTAGACATGTTTTTCATTTGATAAACATTTGTGTAATAGCTTAGGTGAGAAGCTATTGTGAAAGAGGTTAGAGGTTATCAAGCGACCTTCTCCGTGAGAAGAGATTCTAATGTCTTGAATTTGAGTTTCGTCTACTCTGCAAAACAGAAAGGGCTAGGTTAACTAGGAACCTTTGGAAATCTAGTGGATGAAAGGGTTAGATCTAGGTGTTGATTATTGTATTGTATTGTTGGTTTCGTCTCTTACCCTTGAAAGAGATAACATAGTTGAGGGATCTCAAGATGGTCTGGGGAGTGGATGTATGCGAGTTAGTGCCGAACCACTATAAATCACTGTGTTGATCTTTTTAATTTTTGAAGTTTTTGCTTTGATACTATTTACTATTCTTCCTGTTTATACTCTAGAATGCTAAAATTGTAATGGGGTTTTGATGTTCTAAAACTGAAATAAGTTTTATCTTCTCTGAACATTAGAACTCTGGAATTTTGATAAGTGAATATACCAAGTTTTAAACTGTTCTTATATTTACAGTATATTTCACTACTTGAGTTTCTAATCAGTTTTCTAAACTTGATTAAAGCTTTGTGAAGCAGTTCTGATTTCGATAACTGTCTCTAACACAGTCTTATATGATTTTCTAAATTTTATGAGGAAGTTCTAATCACAATAGCTTGCCATCATAAAGCTATTCTAATATTAAATAAGACATTGTGAAGTAGTTCTAATCAATAACTTCTAATAGCTACACTCTGCATAGTCTTTCTATTTTTCCTCAATAGAACATTGTGAGGAAGTTCTAAACTATAACTTATTTTTCACAAGTTCATTAATTTTTCAGTTGCACTTAGAATTCTGAGTTTTGTTTTAAAAGTTAAATTTTATTTTTTTTTTTGAAAACCCAATTCAGCCCCCCTCTTGGGTTGTGCCATACATATAGCTCGCTTTGCCATTTTCGAGAGCAAAATGAGAGATTCGGAGAGAGAGAGCGCAAAAAGATGTAAAAAATCAGTAGAAAAAATGAGTGGGAAATTGCTCATTTTATGGAGGGAGTTCGTATGAACAGAGTACTGTATTTATTGCGTTTGTTTTGAACTTTTTGAAGGAAAATGCATAAGATTTCGACACGTGTACCGCCAAATGTAATTTTACAATCGTTACAATTTGTTATGGTTCATTGTTACATCGAGTTTTTAACCATGGTGTAACCAGTTCTCTGCACTTTTTAATTGAAACTAGTTGTTTTTATGATGTACCATATGCTAATTTTTTATATTTATTTAGTTTTTTTATTTATATAATTAAATTATAAAATTTTATTTAGATTGTAATAAATATAGTGATTTTTATACATATGGTAAAATATTCTTTTTAGTTATATATCTTGCACTATAATATATCATTAAAAAAATTAATATATTTATTTCTCTCTTTAAAATAGCAATTTAAATATAAAATATGTTATTTATATTCTCTTAAACATGCTAATTCATATAGTTTTTATTATACGTTATTTCTTTTATTTTTTGTTTAAGTACTAAATTGATTTATAAAAATCATCATAAAGCTTTTATTTTACGTTTTTATAATTAATTTACATATTTTGTTAATAATATTGTAGTATGTGTTGATGTTTTACAACTGTGAAGTCTTGTTCCTGCAAAAATAAAACACAAATACAAAACATATTTTGTTAATAAATTTCACAATAATCTCTTTTAGTAAATAAATGTATTTAACAATAGAATAAGAAACTAATCTAATAAATCAAATTAAAATAAAAATTATTTTTATTTTTACACAGGGTTTAATATTTTGTATTTTGTATGGGGCTGAATTTTCTTTTTTTCTTTTTTCTTTTTCTTTTTTTATTATTTTGTGATTTTATGTAGTGCTGAATTTTTCTTTTTGAGAAGGCTATAGGGCTGATAGCTTAAACATGTAACTGTTTTAGTCATATTGTTAGTCTTTGAATTTGCTAGTTTAATTTGCAAACTTGTTTATTATCCAAATTCAGAAGAAAAAAAAAAATCAGAAACTAAGGTTTTTTCTTTTTAAAATTAAAAAGGCAATTCCGAATATTGAGCCTCCTATGCTCTTTTGCTTAACAAAATTCGTGAACCACTTGAATTTTTTTTGAGAAAAGCTTATAATTTTGCATGAATAAGAGAGCATTGAATCAATGATTCGAGTATTCATCGTAACTTATATAATTCACTTGTGTAGAGAGTAGTTTATGAGGTAATTTGCTTTGTGTTTACCCTTGTGTTTCAAAGCTTCTGTTATAGTTCAAGCAGCTGCCTTTTATTTAGTTCTTATCTTATTATCTATTTTATGCAGTACTTTCTGTCTGAGGACACCATAAGTCAAATGGCTAAAAGAGTTTATCGAAATTCTCTATGTGTTAAGAAGCACAAGGTAATGAATCTAATTTTATACCAAAATATATATGCCACAGCCCAGTTTTTGCAAGTGGAATTCAATTTGTCAAATTAGAATAGGATATTTGAGGTTTTATTACTGAAATTTTATGAAACTACAATCTCATATAACCTGTTTGGTTGCACTTTTCTTCATATTTGTTCTTCATAGAATGTAATTCATGAGCTAATCTAGCATCAAAAGGGGAGGTTCAGTGGATAATGGATATAAATAAAAATACGTTACAGAACCAATTACAACTAATCAGTTTTGGCTCAATGATGCTAGAGTTAGCTCAATGGCTAAGAGTTTGGTAGTTCAAACTTGGGTCAAACCCTAATTAACCCAAAATAGAATAAATATTCAATTATAGATATGGTCATCAAATTGGACAATATTTTTTCAGTTACTACTCACCTCTGTTATTGGATTGGCACGTTGATCAAGTTCTAATTGTGAAAAAACAAAAGGAACATGCATTTGTGGTTCTGAATTGGCAAAATACTTTATATTTTATTGAAAATCACATTATTCCATTTTATTGCATGCTATGTTTTTGGTTAATTATAGTTTTTCACCCTAACATATTTCCCTTGTTTGTTTCACTTGTAAATAACTGAGTGATCAGAGATACAATGGCTTGGATTGGATAAGTCAATTAGCAGAAGATATTCTTGTTTTCATTCTCTCTCTCTTGACAATGAAAGAAGCAACAAGAACTAGTATTCTTTCACGTAGGTGGTTGAAGGTGTGGACGCTAATTCCTGTATTGAATTTTGATGCACAACAAACATTAAATGATGTGCAATTGGAAACAAAAACTCTTGAAACTGAAAGGACAAGTTATGTCAATTGGGTGAATCAAGTTCTGAGTTCGTGTAAAGGTACTCCAAAAATGCATAAATTCAGAATTCGTTTTGATTTGGATAAAAGTTTTGGATGCGACATTGATAGATGGGTAACATTCGCAATTGAAAAGAAAGCTGAGATAATTGAGTTGGACTTGCGAGATTATTTTGATACCATATTTAAGAAGAAATACACTTTTCCATTCAAGTATTATCAAAAGCAGTTGCGATCACGAAATATTGGTTTTCCTGGCTGTAGTTGCCTTACTAGTCTTCAATTGGCTAATGTAAATGTAACTGGAGAAGTTGTTGAATACTTCTTATCTAATTGCTTGCTTCTAGAATGCTTATATATAGCAGCCTCGGATCTTCTGGTGAATCTAAAAGTTGATGGTCCATCACTTCGGTTGAAATATTTGGACATAAAATATTGCTTTTCCATTAAGAATGTTGAAATTTCTGCAGTCAATCTTATATCATTCAAATACTTCGGACCGAAGATAAGCATGCCTTTGAAATGTGCTCCCCGGCTTGCTGAAATGCTGATAGGAGGGAGTTATTCTCATTACCTAATTCATAATTATTATGAACTTTCACACTACCTTTATCAATTAGAGACACTTTCTTTAGATGTTTGTTATAGTAAGGTTTGTATGTGAAAACCATGTTTGTGCATTCTTTTTGTTTTCTCTTACTGATTAAATATAACGGGTTTGTTGGTCCTAAATTTGATTGCTGTATGCAGGTAACAAAGGATCTTCAATTTCCAGTATTGACCAATCTCAGACGATTGGAGCTAATAACAAATACAAATGATGAAGAAAGCCTTCTTGGCTTCACTTTTTTGATCGAGGCATCGCCTTTCTTGCACAAATTTACTTTAAAGGTAATTATTTAGTTGTGAACTTAAAGATTGCCAAGTAGGGACTCGTTGACTTGCGCTGAGAAAAAACTGACCCACAGATGAATAGTTGATTGTCACTCATTTGCTTGTTACGTGTTTCAATTTATTTTTGAATGTCTTTAAATCGATGCATCCATTACATTGTGTCTGGTTCCTTCAAGAAGCATCACTCCCCATGGTCACGACCAATGTCAATGTCTCATATTGAAGAATTTGTGTGTTTTACCGCGTGATAATGTAGAAATTGTATATTTTCATAGTTTCTTTTCGAAAGAAACATTTTAATTTAGTTTTTACATGTTTTAGTTCCATTGGTATGCTAGTTACATACAACGAGAAGCTGAAGAGCCTAAAAGATGTCCTCATCAACACCTCAAAGAGGTAGAATTCATTGGTTTTGTGGGGGAAATCATTGATGTCGAGCTTGCAATGTACATCATTGAGAATGCTGTCAGGCTTGAGAGGTTTGTTTTTGACACTCGTAAACCACATATGATTGGAAGCCCATGGGAGTTCGAAGAAACAAAGGAAAAACGATTGGCTAGGAGGCGCGCCCAACGCTTACTATCAAAACTACATCCTAATTTTGATTTTGTAGTCGTTTAATTTAATATGATTTTAGTTGGTGATTACGATCAAAACTACATCCTAGTTTTGATTTTGTAGTCCTTTAATTTAATATGATTTTAGTTGGCAGTAATCACCAAATATGTGTGACTTTACCTAAGGAGTTTGATATCCAAAGGGTGCTGCTTTAAGGTTTTGGTGGGTTCGTTGTACAAATACGTAGATGTTAATTTGAAGGACGTTTTCAAAGTCTTATGATTTCACTTTGGAGGAGCATATGGGATTCATCAAGTTCTTGTTCTTTCCTTGTTGTGCGGTGCCCACTCAATGGGACCCACATTTGAAACAAAAAAAAGAAAACGTGGTAGGACCCACACGTAGTTGAAAATGGAAATAAGGAAATAAGAATTTTCTTCTTGGTAGGTGATCCGTTTTTCGGTGGACGCTTTCTTCTTGGTTAGGTGATCCGTTTTTCCGGTGACGCGTAATTTACGCGTCCCACCTCTCTAAATCCCGCGGTCCATCCTCTATAAATTAGGAGATGTTGCACCAACGCTCATAACACACAGACCAAAAGAAGCGAAGAGAGTATTTTTTTGAGAAAATTTGAGTTTTAGAATTGGGTTCTAAAACTCGGGGTTAGAGAGAATAGTGAGGATAATTGGGAAACCACTGTGTGAGTGCCACGTAATTTGTATTACTCTCTTTGATAAGCCTACTATTTTTAATGAGTGGAAGAATATTCGGTTTGTCCCGTGGACGTAGCCCCTAAACAGGTAAAGGGTGAAAACCACGGAATATCTGTGTTCATTATTTTTATTTTTCGCTGTGTTATTTTTTCTCGTTAATTCTTATGCCGGACCAACAAGTAGGTATCAGAGCGAATGGTTTTACCGGATCCGTGGATATATTTTAAAAATAAATATACCACGACGACGAGAAAATACGCCGGAAGTCCATTAGTGCAGTCCGTTCGAAAAGACGTATGCAGAATCGATTAGTGAGAATAGTAAAATAGTAACTCAAAGTTGATGTGTGAAACAGTACTACTTGGCGTTTATTTTTGCTGAGTCCGTTTCAAATTTAAGGCCCAGCACTATTCACGCATAGTAACTATTCACATATACAGGTTAACTATTCACGCATTACAGGTACTGTTCGTATTACTGTTCTATTCAATTATACGGTCACTATTCACGTATACTATATTCACGATACGGTTTTTTGTGGTGATAATAATTCTGGCACAAGTTTAAAAAAGATTGACGACACAACAACAGGCACAATGCGTTAGACTCAACTCATCAAACTATGCAGTATAGGAAGATAATTAATGGAAGATCTCTATGCTGTAAAGGAAATCTGGTTGAACGATTGAGTTGAAGGGGGTTTCAGGCAGCTTCAATAAATGAAAGCGATTGGAAGTCAATTAACAGAAAAGCAGTCGCAAACTATTAGGCAGTCTGTTGAATATGAGCTGTCATAATCATTATCGCTCAATGAGAAAGATTTGGCCTATTCAATTTGGAAGGAAGTTGTGTGAGGACATGTACGAGCGGAAGAATGCCCAGAACAAAGCCTTTTTAAATTAAAAAGCTTGTAAATCTAAAGTACAAAAGATTGGCGGAAAGTGCTTTCAGATCACTTGGGCAAATTCAAGAAAATAGTGAAACCAACTGGACGACGTCAAAGCATAGTGTTTTGACGACAGGTGCAGCACTATTCTTATTTGAGATTCCTTGCCAGACAGGTTGGAGACACTGACTGTTACGCTCAGTAAATTGTGTCGGAGGGGAATTCTACCTTAACCACAGTCAAGGAAAAAAGCATTCTGAATGAAGAAAACCAGACGTAAGGAGAATGCTCGAGTTAGCAACTTCAGATTGCATCGTTACAATTACGAAAGGAGGGGAGAAGCGAACAAAGATACCCCAAAAATCCAGACAAACGTGACAATTCACGAGAAGAATCCAAGTCAAGAAAAGGTGTCACTTGCTATCATTGGTGGCAAGCCCGGTCACATCAAAGGCATTGGTAGAAAGTGGAAAAGGAACGAGCCAAAGGAAAAGTGATTGAAGAAAAAGACGATACGGAAGTAGCTTCATTTAGCTATTGATTGCTGACGCACCTTGGTGATGGTAGTGCGCTGATTTCTCATGCTGCGTCTTTAGTGAGTGTTCCACTAGTCAACAATCTTTATGGATTATTGACTCTGCATGTTCTTATATATCTTCAAATAAGGAATATTTCTCATTTCCACTTACCCTCGGAGATTATGGCCATGTCAAGAACTTTGAATGGCCACATATGTGGAAAATTGCGGCATTGGAACAGTATGCATTCAAAACCAATGTGGATTATGATCTTCTTGGTGAAGATGTGAGATTTACACTCTACAGCAAAATTCAATCTGATCTCAGTTCACTGTCTTAGATGAATTGCGGGCTATTACCAATCTGTTTGTCAACAGAACGTGGAAGCTTTCCAAAAAAGGTAACTTGGTGTTCGGTCGAGGAAGGAAAGTTCAACACCCTCTACTACACCCAGGCTAAAGTTTGCACAGGGAGTTAGTGAATGCAGTTGAGATTTTCATCTGCTGAGTTATGGCACAAACGATTTGGGCATTTGTGAGAAAGGACATGGGGAGGACTCCTCACTTAGAAGTAAAATGCTATCTTTGAAAGGTTTGCCTCTGAAAATATGCACTGATTGTTTGTCTTGTAAAAACAAACAGTAGAGTTTCCTTCTCAAAGATCTCCTTTCTCCATCTAGAAAAAACCTGGATTCTAGAATTTGGTACCACAACTGATGTTTGCTCAATGGGTGACAAATCTTTGAGTGGCTGCTTATATTTATTGGTAGTTTATGATGACCATTCGAGAAAGGTTGTGTGGCTTTTCCCAATAAAGTTCAAAAGACCAGGTGCGCTGGATATTCCAGGTGCTGGATATGTTTAAAATCTTTCATGTCAGTGTTGAAAGACAAACGGGAAGAAAGTTAAAATGTGTTAGAGCTGATAATGGTGGTGAGTAAAGAGGACCGTTTGAAAAGTATTGCTCAGAACACGGCATCAGACTTCAGAAGACAGTTCCCAAAACTCTACAGCAGAATGGAGTTGCAGAGAGAATGAACAGAACCATTGTTGAAAGGGTTCGATGCATGCTCTCTCATGCAAAACTTCCTAAAACCTTTTGGGCTGAAGCAATGAATACTGTAGTTTACTTGATCAACCTTTCACCTTCAACCTCCCTCAACGGAGATGTACCAGAAAAGGTGTGGTCAAAAAATATTTTCTTCAGATCATTCTAGAATATTTTGGCTGCAGGGCTTTTGCTTTCATGTCACAAAAGATGTAAAGATCCAAGCTTGATTCGAAGTCAAAACAGTGTATCTTTCTTGGGTTTATGGAAATGATGATTTTGGGTACAGTGATTATGGGATCCAGTTGAAAAGAAGCTCATCAGAAGCCAGAGAATTGTAGATTCCTGGAGACCCAAAACATTGAAAACTTTTGAGAGAAAAATTGAAAAAACCAAAGTCTATTTCAATGAGTTTCCTGTAGTCTTGATGCAGAACCTCAATATAGAACCACAAAATGATGGAAGAAGATTGCGATGATGAACCTGTCAAATATGCTTTGAACCAGCTCCAATTTAGAAGAACTGCCTCAATTGCAGAGAAGAAGCTGCGAGAGTGCCAGGATACCTTCCCAAGATATTCTCCTAATGAATATGACTTGTTGACTCAAGGGGGAGAACCAGAGACACTACCAGGAGGCAATGGAAGATGTTAAAAAGAATGAGTGCTGAAAGCCATGCAAGATATGAGATGGAGTCCTTGCATTGAGTAACCAGACTTATGAGTTGGTGAAACTGCCTCAAGGTTAAAGAAAGCATTGAAGGAACAAATGGGTGTTCAGGTTGGAGACGAACAGAACAAAACTCACAGCCAAGGTACAAGGGCGAGATCTGGTTGTGAAGGGGATTCGTCAGAGAAAAAGGAGTTGACTTTGAAGAAAATTTTCTCTACCCGTAGTCAAGATTGTCTTCTATTAGAGTTTGTGCTCGGTTTAGAGCTAGCCTGGAATTTGGAGATCGAGGCACTTGATGTAAAAGACCGCTTTTCTCCATGTGTGACTTAGAGGGAGGAAATTTATATGGGAAGCAACCAGAAGGGTTCAGAGTCAAAGGCAAGAACACTTGGTGTGTAAATTGCAGAAAAGCTTGTATCATGGCCTTCAAACAATTCTCCAAGGCAATGGTACAAAAAAGTTTGGACTCTTTATGTAAATCACGGGTATGAGAAAAACTACTTCTGATCACTGTGTATTTGTGAAAAAAGTTCATAGAAGGGCGGAACTTTATTATTCTTCTTGTTATATGTGGATTGATATGCCTTATTTGTGGGCCAAGATTGCTAAGAGAAAATTGAGAGCTTGAAAAGGAACTTGGAAATCCTTTGCATGAAGGGATTGGGTCGGCAAACAGAATACTCGGAATAATGAAGATCTCCAGAGACAGGAAAAAGAGAAAGTTGTGGCTGTCTCAAGAGAAGTACATCGAGAAAGTTCTCAGCAGATTCAATATGAGCAATGCAAAACTAGTTTCTACTCCGCTTGCAGGTCATTTCAAATTAAATCTTAGTCAATGTCCTTCAAGTGAGAAAGAAAAAGAAGAAGTGAAGAGGATTCCTTATGCATCCACCGTTGGCAGCTTGATGTACGCCATGGTATGCACAAGACCAGATATTGCTCATGCTGTTGGTGTTGTTAGCCGATTTCTTTCAAATCCAGGTAAAGAACACTGGAATGCGGTAAAGTGGATTCTCAGGTATCTTAAGGGCACTTCCAAAATTCCAAACTGTTGCTTATGTTTTGCGTGATAATAGACCTGTGTTAGATGTTACACAGATGCAGATATGGGTGGTGATGTTTGATTCGCGCAAATCAACTTCTGGATATCTGATGACTTTTGCAGGAGCATTCAGTTTCTTTGGCAATCAAAATTGCAAAAATTGCGTCTGCACTCTCATCCACTGGAGGCGGAATTATATCGCCATTACAGAAAGCTAGCAAAGGAACTCTTTATGGATGAAGAAATTCCTACAAGAATTTGGGTGTAGAACAAGAGAGGAAGTACATTCTGCTATGTAATAGTCAAAGCGCGATACATTCTCAGCAAGAATTCACCTT